TCCTCGGCGCTCGGTGAGGAAGGTTGCGGCCGGGCCGCGCCCTATATCTCTTTTTCTCTGCATTTCTTATGCATTTCTCTTATTTCGTGTTTCGCCCTCTGGGCTTTATTATTGCCCGGCGCCCCGAGCCCCGCGGCTGCGGGGAAAGGAGAGCGGAGGATGCAGAATGGGAATAGGGGAGCAGAGGGGTAGTTGAGGGGAAGGTGACAAGGACAGAGAGCAGGTGGGACAGGTCGGGGTGTGCAGGACAGCAGGGGAGGGGGGCAGGAGGGAAGGCAGGGCACAGGAAGGAAAGGATGGACTGAAGGCAGGTTTAGGGGAAGGAGGTGGAAGGTATCATGGAAAGGGGGCAGGTGGAGCTGGGATGGGGGCGGAAAGAAGAGGGAGAGGATAGGGTAGGGGTGAGTAGGGGCAGAAAGAGGTGGGATGGGGGGGTTAGGAGGGCGCCCGCTCCGCTTCCTGCGGGGAATGCTCGTCTCGGGATGCTGCGGGACCGGCGCTCGCAGCGCTGTGCGGAGATCCGGGCCGGGGGCGGCTACCGCCGCTGCGCGGTGTCCGACGCGCTCAGGTGGGATCGGGATCGGGGCTCGCGGATTCGGGTCCTGGTCCTGCAGGTGTCGGCTGTGGGATCCGGGCAGAGCCGCTTCTTCCTCGGCAAGCAGGGTGCGGGTGCTGGGGCCGGAGGATCGAGGAGGGATTGGGGCTGGGATCGGGACCGGCGCTACCGCCGGCGGGAAGAGCCGCTCCGGGACGGGTGCCGGGACCGAGCCCGGCGCTGCCGCTCCCGCTGCGGCGGGTGCGGGGCTGGGGTCGCACCGGAGCTCCGGGCACGCTCCTGCTTGTGGCCGTGGGGAGCCAGGGGATGCCGGTGCCGGGCCCGCCAGGAGGACGGCGCTTCCCTAGAGCAGACGCTGGATCGCGGCTGGAAGAAGGCAGGGCACGGGGATCGCCCGGCCCCGGGACCCACCGGCGGCGCCGCCCCCTCAGCGCCGCCTCCCGCCCCGCGGGGTCACCGAGCCCCCGGCCCCGGTAACCCTGCGGCCACCGCGCTCCCTGCCCGCATCCCCGGGGAGCCTCTGCCGAACGAGCGGGGCGGCCGCTGGGGCCGGCTCCAAGTGTGCCCGGTGTGGGACTGGAGGAGGCCAGAAGCCCCCGAAAGGTTGGCAGCACCTCGTGTCCTTGGCATCTGCAGGGGAGGAGCTGTGCCTGCAGCGTCCTGCCCGCGGCACGCAGCATGCCAAGCACACGGGCACCGGGGCACCGGGACAGCGCCGGCACGGACACGGCTGAAGGGCTGCCTGTGGCTCCTCGGCCAGGGCTGCTCCGAACAGGCACATGGAGATGCTTCAGCCCGCACAGAGAGCACTGACAGCCCAGAAGGACCCGAGGAGCGGCTGGCACGATCTGGGAATGGAGGCACGGGGCCGCTTGCAGAGGGGCTCAGACAGCAATTCCTGATTCTGGCCTCCAAGAGTTCCCACACAGCTGCCAGGTATGTCTTGACCACCCCAAATCTCTTCCCTCCTTTCTTGTCTGAGGCCGCTGTCCATCAGCAGCATTTAAGCTAAGGCGATTTTCCCTCACAGATACTAAATCCCAAGCAATAGGCCTCGGAGATGCCTTAAAATCAGAGGTTTGAGTTGGGATGAAGTTTGGAACTTTTCAGGGAGCCAGCTGGAAGTGCAGAAGTGGTGGAAGACTTTTGCAGGTGGGTCCCACCAGAGGTGTGCTGAAGGCAGGGATGTGCATCGCGCAAGGAGCTGTCAGGTTCTTCCAGCAGGAATTCAGCAGGGAATGCATGTGGGCCTGCGGGTATAATTCATGTGAACTACCAGACACTGAACCCCAAATCCAGGCACCACATGCAGAACAATCTTTGTGCTGCCCTGTCAGCTAAAGCCTCTGGGCTGGGAAATGTCAGCAGCCTAGTGTATGGAATGATCTAAATCCCAGCAGCCAGCATACCCAGAGGGACAATCCACGTCCCAGGGTGGCACCCCGTGTCCTTCCCCTGCTGCTGGTGGGACAAATTCCCCTCGGTACAGTTGGGCCTGGCTGGGCAGGAGCTGGGGGCAGGAGGGGCGGGAGAGCGGACGGGGAAGCGCCGGGAGAGGAGGCCGCTGGACGTGACCTGAATCAGCTGAAAACATTCTTTCCCTGCAGAAGCCAGGAGCTGAGGCAGATCCCTCCTGGCCAGGCTGGTGGGCTGGGGGAAAACACCCTGCCCCTGCCAGGAGCTCTGACTCTGCTTTTCCTCCCAGCTCCTCAGCAGTGCCAGGGCCACCGTGAGGGAGCTCAGCCCCAGAAAACCCCAGAGCATCAATGATTCCAAAAGAGCAATCATCCATTGTAGTCAAAAACCTAAACATCTGTTAAAAAGGCTATGACAACACTGTGACAGGATTCCCAGGAGCCTTCTGGTTTGCTCTTGGTTCTGTTTTTATGTATTTTTAGTCCCTCAACGGGCAGCGTGTAGAATTTATTCTGGGTCTTAGAGGTTGAGCAGGGCTGGCTTTGGCTTGGCCTTCACCTCTGGTCCCACTTTGTGCCAGGCTGGGTGAACTCATCGCCTCAGCTTTCCCTCCAAACTATCCCTTACTCATTTCCCCGCAGATGAACTCAGACTTTGCCCCAAACTGTCCCCTCCTCACCTCCTCTTGCCCTCGGTGTCCGTTCTGTTCCCCACAGGTGCCCTGGTGACACCAGGGCGCTCCCTTTGCCCTTCTCCAGGCCGAGGCCGCTCCTCCGCTCGCTCCCTCTGCTCTTGTCTCACACAGCGGGGCACAAAAGGGGAAAGCTGTCATTCATTCATGAATTCTGCAATTAATTGACAATTATTTCCAGTTCCCCAGTGAGAAGAACATGACCTCACAGCCATGGAGGCCTGACAGGGTCCTGCAGTGAGAGCTCAGCGCACGTCCACAGGGGTAAGTCCAGCATCTGAAAGAAAAAAACACCGGAGAAAAATGTGACCTATTGTGCTTCTAAGTTATTTCAGGTTTTTAAAGCCCAACCAACATTTGCTCTTGATTTTGGTTGGGTGACTCATGAGCAGTGGGCACAGGTCATGCCATTCATGGGGGCAGAAAAAGTAGATTAAGCTCTCCTTATTTCAAGCAATTATTAAAAATGATTTGTGACTCTTTAAACACAACACCCTGTAATTGCCATAGCGTTTATTCCATGATTTTAACTAATTCTCAGTGTATTTTATAAAACTTAAAATAACACCTGCTCCTTAACAGGCTCCTAAAACATTAGACAAAAAGTCCTAATACCAGTCTCAGGCTTACACAAGAGACCCTGCCCATAGCCAAACAAAAAAATCAAACTAACGTACCAAAAGCAGCCCTTAGTAACATTAAAAACACAACTCGGGCATACCCACAAATTTATTTCCTCCAAACACTTCAAATTCTAAATCAAAAACTCTTTAAAAAGTAACAAAAACCATCAAAAAATACTTCAAATGTAAAACCCGTAAACATATAATCAAAAACTCTTTAAAAAGTAACAAAAACCATCAAAAAATACTTCAAATGTAAAAACCGTAAACATATTTACGTAAATATTACTGAAAGCCCACAAAAATATAAAACAATCTAATCAATATCCTAAATACAAAAAACCCCACTATACAAATTAGTACCATTCTAAATAGAACATAAATAAAAGTCTTTTACCAAGAAACACGTCTCATAATAAATAAAACCACAATGTAAAGATATGGGTAATAATAGTAACTCAACAATCTAAAATTTCTTCAACACCAAAATATTTTAAGAACTCCAATATTTATAAATAACAGCCTTCAATAAGTTAAGTGTTAATGAAATCAAACAAAATTAAATTTCACTACATTTAGGTCTAGATATTCTCAAATTACATTTGATCACTTTAATATTGGATTAAAATTAAGTTTATTATTCCTTAGTATCAGAATTCATTCCTTTTCAATTTAAATTTTATGTAATGTAATTTCTCCTGTATTTTATTAAAAATCATTTATCTAAACAAGTATATGGTTAATTTCCTTAAAAAAATAAAACTCCTATTAAAACAACTAAAATAAAACACTAACAAACACATATTCATAAGTGAAACAAACACAGTTTATTACATCATCAATTTAATAAAAAATTCTATTCTTCAATGCAATCTCTACTGTTTTTATCTTTTATAAATAACACCAAAAAATAGCAATTAATATTGATATCAAACTAGTTAAAATTTTTACTCTATTTCCTTAGTATATAAATATTTTTAAAAAGTTGTCTTAACTTCTTCAAACACTTACTACTAATATGCTAATTCTATAATAGAAATATATTAATTTTTGTAATAAACATTATTTATAAAACAATATTGTAATATTTGCAACTGACTTAAATATACTGTACCATCTCTCTATATAATTATCTAGAAAACATTTCTAAGTCCTACTTTTTTATTCTTTAACTACTTACACATCTCTTAAACCAAGTTAACACTCTAACTAATCTCTACACTAACTCTATAATTTAACCTAATATTATCTCATAATTTTAAATGTTTTTCCAAATGAAAAAGAAATTAAACTTCATTAAAAACCTCCTCCAAACTATTAATCTTATAACTTTCCTCAGTTATTATTACAAAAGCACTTCAATAAAAAATCCACCTGTAACACTATTTTTCTAAGTTTCATGCTAAGTAATCAATCTCTCACACAACTACATTTCCTCCACCCTCACACTCACAATATCCAAATCCAAACTCACAATCCTGTCTATAATCGTTTTCAAATCTTTTTTAAAAAGTTTACTATATTCACATCTCTATTCCTAAAAGTTTTACTCATAACTATTTTTAAAACAGTATATGAAAATATACTAAATAAATATATTAAAATTAAAATTTAAACTATATCCAAATCCTAACTCTACCTAAATAAAATAGTTAACAACAAACCCAAATATTTTCTATATCAAAAGTAAAATTCAAAACATTTTAACTTTACCAATTAACTTTACCAAGAGAACAACTAAACCTGTTTCTTAAATAAACCTAAAAAATCATTTTCCAAATAAAATAATGCAACCTTCCACTAATTTAAAATGTATCAACTGTTACAAACTAAAATGATAGACAATATTTTAATACTTAATAATGACATAATTTCACATCTGTTACTAATTATATATATTATCTAAATAATTCTTAATTGTTATCAATTTCTCCTTTACTACATAAATTATTTTACCCTAATATTTCTTCATACTTGTAACAAAAATTTATAATAATAACAGTGTATATCATTATCTTACCAGTCTCTGTACAATTTTATAAAACAAAATGTATCAATAGTTTATTTCTCATACCAAAGCATAAATTTCACTTATATCTCAACAAGTACAAAAACCCAAATGAATTTCAATAAAAAACATAAAACCACATCGCACAAAAAACCACTAAAATGATAGACAATATTTTAATACTTAATAATGACATAATTTCACATCTGTTACTAATTATATATATTATCTAAATAATTCTTAATTCTTATCAATTTCTCCTTTACTACTTAAATTATTTTACCCTAATATTTCTTCATACTTGTAACAAAAATTTATAATAATAACAGTGTATATCATTATCTTACCAGTCTCTGTACAATTTTATAAAACAAAATGTATCAATAGTTTATTTCTCATACCAAAACATAAATTTCACTGATATCTCAACAAGTACGAAAACCCAAATGAATTTCAATAAAAAATGTAAAACCACATCGCACAAAGAACCACACTGACCACTCCACCAATAAAAAAACAAGGTAAATACAAATGTAAATTCCACAGAGTTAATGTAAATTCCACAAAAATTCCACCTAACATCTTGTATTGCACCCACAAAAAACTATAAACTTTAAGTTTCTTTGTAGGTATAAAAATCAATAATATTATAAAACTCTTATTAAATAATAAGTTAAAAATATAAAATTCAATCAAATATTCTACTTCTACTCTATTTTCTTTGTGTACTTTTAATTATACAATTTTACCAATTATCTAGTCTAAAACATTTAAGTAACCTTAGTTAAAGTTTCAAGTTTAAATACTTTGTATTTATCTACCACTACTCAAAAAAAAATCCATTCTTTACCTACTCAAATAATATACCAATAAAAAACATTAGAAATAATCCATATAATTAAAAACCCTTACATTAACTCCTAATATAAAAATAATTACTAATATAAAACATAAAAAATCATTTATCCATCAGTACTAATCAAAATATAAAAATAATTTCAAACCTTGAAACTTAAAAAAAAAATTGTAGCATCTCTTTTTATGCCACCTATTATTTCAACAGCAACACTAAAACAATTAAATAAATGAAAATATTATCTAAGGAAACAATCTAATACTACATCCCTTACATTAAATAACTTTTTAACAGATATTAAAAATATTCAACATGCAGTTTTACAAAACAATAAATTTTCTTAACACACAAATATAAATATAAAAATTTTTAATAAATATATAAAATTATCTAATGCCTCAAAATATCTTTTGTAGCATCTCTTTTTATGCCACCTATTATTTCAACAGCAACACTAAAACAATTAAATAAATGAAAATATTATCTAAGGAAACAATCTAATACTACATCCCTTACATTAAATAACTTTTTAACAGATATTAAAAATATTCAACATGCAGTTTTACAAAACAATAAATTTTCTTAACACACAAATATAAAGATAAAAATTTTTAATAAATATATAAAATTATCTAATCCCTCAAAATATCTTTATAAAAATACACAACTCTAAAATATATTAAGAATAAATAATAAAACTTAATTTGTTTAATAAATAAATTTAAACACCATAATTTAAAAAATAACAAAATTGTGCATTTCAATTATTATAATAATGCTACTACTAATAATAACACATTATTTACATAAATATTTATTACCAGTGCTTAACAGATGCACTAATAAAAATTTCTTAATGCAGAGAGGGAGGAGAGATGTGGGAATTGGAAAAGCAGAAACTTCCAGAGACACTAGAAGATTTGATCTGCGGCCTTGGAAGAAGCTTGGATTGATGCAGAAATCCAACAGACGGACCTCAAGCAGAGGAATCATAAACTTCTGGTTCTATGGTTGTAAGTAAGAGAGTGCTTTAAATCAGTGAGAAATGAAGGGTGGGATGGAGAAGGGTCTGTGCTGCGAGGGTGTGGGTGTGTAGAGGCGAGGAGCTCAGAATTGCCACAGAGCACGTGTGCCAGCGAGACAGAAGCCTGCTGAGCAGAGGCACCCACAGTGCAGCAGAGTTCAGTAAAGGTGGTGGGTTAGAAAAGCAAAATAACCCCTGTGGCAGCTGTCCCTTGGGTTAGAAAGGTATGCATTGCCTTGTCATGAAGAAACTCTTGCACTATAGCCAGCTACTTACTCCTTTAAAGTCTCGGGGCCTCTGAGCTGATGTCCACGCGAGCAATAAATCCTTCTGAACCCACACCAGTGCCATCCTTGGTTACTGGCAGTGCCAACAGCTCTGGCCAGGGCTCTCTGTGTCTCGGGCACGGCAGGGGCCAGGGTGCTGCAGCGGGACAGCCTGGAACCAGAGCAGACCAACGGGGTTAGCCAGGGCTGGGGACAGCTGGGGACAGCAGCGAGCAGAACCACCAGCCTCTGGGGCTTCATTGCAGCCGCACAGAGCATCCCAAACGTGGGATTCACAGACCTCCCACTCCCTTGTCACAAAAGCTGGGTCTGATCTACCTCTCAGGGTGGCCGACACCTCCTCCCCCAAAACCACAGGAATTAGAATTTGGTGCTGCTTTTACAACCTTCATGTCAGCTTTGCAACTGCAAATCCCAGCAGGTCCCTGCTGCACAGAGCACCAGTCTGCAGTGATCTCCACTTCCCTGGAAAAGCTGCTGCAGCCCCAGGCTGTACCAAGGTGAGTACAAGTCTGGAGAGGTAAGAACCCTCACCTGGCTGCTGCACTTGGAGCAAGATCCAGCTGCACGTGGAATTCTGGAAACAGCCTCCGAAATGTTCTATAATTGTACCTTTAAAATGGCTCCAAAGGGCAGCAGCTCCGGCGCCAGACCAGGACCTGCACGAGTCCTTGTGCCAGCCCTGGCTCACTGAAAAGCACAATGAATCAACCATCACACAGGCCTTGTTTGCAGAATTCCTGCTCCAAACCCTCACCTCTCCTGCCCCACACTGAGGGAAATCTGACCCAGTATTAATAAATAGTGTTTGCTGAGAGCAGTCGTCACCCCAGTCCCCCAGCCTTGGTGCACAAACAATGCCCAGCCTGCCCCTCTGGGCACAGCCAAACACCACAACTCCATCATCCCCGGGAGCTCTGGCATGTGCTCTTCCCCTCTGCCCTCTTCCAGCAGACACAGGTAGGGCTGGGCTGTCAGAATGGCATTCCCCAGGCAGTTCATCCCAGCAGAGAGGAGAAGAGGAACGCTGTGTCCCTTTGACTTACCCCACAGCCTGGGCAGGACCAGGAGCCCTCCAGCGCAGACCCCTGGTGCTGAAGCCTCTTGGCTTTGGCTGCTTAGACACCGAAGCTTTTGGCAAAGATGGGAGGAGTTAGATGATTTTTCCTGTCCTGAAAGAGAGGAGGAAAAGAAAATGAAGTCCACTGCAGAAGTCAAAGGATCCCAGCTTTCATATTTCTGCTCTGACTGCTCACTGTGTGGTTTTATCCATGAGAGGTGACGCCAACTCTAACATAAAAGTGCCCTTTTCCAGCATTTTTATTCCTAACTATTTTAGACATTAAAAGGAAGCTCATTTTTCTTATTGCATTCTTTGCCTAATTTTAACAGAACCATTTTCATCCCAGGACCTCACTTGTCAGTCCTTCACCATTGGACTTGGAACAAAGGAAGGGACACCCAGGATGCTGCATCACAGGAAATCCCAAAGAGAAACCCCTCCAAAACCTGACAGGAAAAGGTTTCAAGGCACTCCAGAACACAGCCAGCTGTTCATGCCTTGTCAGGCCACAGCAACCCTGTCACATGCACCCGAGCTGTGCAGGCCAGGCAAAGGCTGCCCTTCCTCCTAGGGAGCGCTGCCTGAGAGCACAGAGAGCCATCCTGGGCAGCACCTGGAAACAGCAGGGGAAAGGCAAAACGAAAATGTTTTCTGTCAGAAAATGAGTGTCTGCAATCAGAACTTCTGGACACTTTCATGTGATAAATACAGGCCATGCCCATCCTTCCAGCCCAGGTGAAAACAGGAAGGAGAACTGCAGGAAGACAGAGTCCCTTGTTTGGATATATTTCCTAAAGACACTTCTGCATTGATATAGTTTATATCAATAAAACTTTGTGTTCTTTAAAAGAATGGATTGCTGCTAAAAAAATAATATTCTATCAGCCACAGCCAGGACAAGCTGCAGCTGGAGAGCCAGGGAGATGCAGGAACTTGGCACACCAGGGATAAGAGCAGAGGAAGCAGGGGAGGTGTGGGGGGAGAGCTGGAGAAGTGAAGGAGCAGGCAATCTTGTAAAAAATAAATCTTGTTTAGATTCATCAGTGCTGGGACCAAGGAAAATGCATGGAGCTGGATGCATCTAGGACGTAATGCCCCTGGTTTGGTTGTTGTCCTTTGCTCCTGGGCTTTGGCTTCAGCCCCTCTCCAGAGGAGCAGGGAATTCCTGCAGGGAAAGGGGGAGCCTGGTCCCACTCCAGGGATATGTCCAGTAAAGGAGGGGAGCTGTTTGGAGTAACTGACCAGTGTTTTTGTTACACACAAAAGTCAAACCCAACAAGCACTGAAATGGACCACACCGAGCTGGAACACAAAGTGTTCACAGCAGGCAGAGGCAAGAGGTACACACAGGACCAAGAATTACCATTTCACTTGGCCTTTCTGCTTACAGCCATTTTAATTCTGCTTTACCTCACAGCTGCCATTCTGCCATTTCCATTTCCAGGAGCCTGTGTCACGTGTAGCTGAGGCTAGAAATCCTTACTCAGGATTTCCATGTCTCACCTGGATTGCCAGGAAGCACGTGCACACATGCATGCCCATTTCTGTGATATGTCAGTCAGAAGTCACGTAACCCAGCCACTTGCTCCTCACTGCACCACTTAGAAATGCATTTAAAAGCCAGAAAAAATCCCCAAAACAACCAAATAACAACCCACAGCAGAGAGAGCTTAGTGCAGCATCATCTTAATGTTCTGCTCAGTGATGGAGAGAAAGAGGGAGGAAAGCTGCTTTCCAGTACTCCCAGGTCTGGACCAAGCAGTTTGAAACAGCCGAAATTGCCCTCACCTGCAGCTTTGCTCCTTGCTTCAGCCTTGCCCTGACTTCTGAGGGACCAGAGGCACCAGACAAGCCAAAACTGGCAGCACTCACACCCACTGCTGGTACGGACATCTTCGTGTTCTGTCTTTGGCCAAACAACCCCCAGGACGTTTCTGCTTTCCTGTCAGACTTGGCAAATTTCATTGACATTTATCCAGGCAGCAGACACCCTCTATGGCTCTGGGGTCAGATCCCCTGTGGCACAAAAAGCCGAGAGAAGACTGGAGGGAAGAATCCAAGAGCAAATTGAAATCCCGGAATGCAATGAAAGCCTGCTTCTGGCAGGTTCCTGCTGGCTTTTGGGGCACAAGAAAGGCCTTTGCACCATTTGCATCCATGTGAAAAGCCCACACTGAGCACTTGGCTTTAAAGATGTTTACTCAGTGTTACAGACACAGAATTGCTTTGGGATTTGGTATCTCCTGCACCCACACAAACACATTAAAGGAATTAAGTGCAGAGTCCTGAAGTTCAGTTATTCCAATTCTATTTTGGTAGGGTCACCTGACATACCAAAATCCACAACAATACTTAAAAAAATGAAAAGCAACTCTCCCTCCCCCCCTCACTTTCAATTTTCCAGTTTAGGAAAACTGCCTCACCCTTCACACGAGACTGAAAATGGAATAAAAGCTTTTGTAACTCCTCTCAGTTGCCCCATCTCTGGGCCAGAAAAGGGCTTAATCCAATAAATTTTCCTCACACAAAGCACCAATTTATCAGATTATGCCCTTTTCTGACCCAGAAATAAGTTAACTGAGAAGCATTTTAAAAAATTTTATTTCATTTTCAGTCTCACGTGAAGGGTGAGACGATACAGAAGTCATAATTCATGTCATCACAATCAGAAGCCAGATATTTCCTAATTACAATACAAGTGTTTCTTGTCCTATCAGCTTTTGTCACACCATGCTGTAAATGCCTTAAAGCCAATCATCTAAAATTACTCCTCCTGAGGCCTACTACCATACATCTTTCATAGTCCTATTTCTCTAAAGTATCCAGTCTTATTTACAAACTCATCCATTAAAGCTCATTTCTAGCTCCATTTCTCTCTCAACAATGTCTGTCCCATTCCATGGCATTTCTAAGTCAGCATTTCTTATCTCAGAGTTTACATACAGATACATACTATGTGAACCTCCTGCCAAACTCTGAAAATTTCCTACAGGTCCATTTCCCTCACCAGAGCCGTTCCCTGCCCAGCACAGGAGCTGTGAGTGCTGTTGCAGGGCACAGGTCTGAAGGAGCACTGGAGCTGAGACATTAAAGCCAGCAAAAGCAATTATCAAGTAGAAAGAGATCCTCACCTGGTCCAACGACTGAATCCCTGTGGCTCATCCTCACGGGGTGACCCTGCTCCAGGGAGGAATCTCCACACAGCTTCCAAGACCTGGGGTCAGACACTGCCCTGCCAGCAGAATACAAAGGGTTAATGAAGCTTTTTGTACGCATTCTGTCCCCAGAGTGGTTTGACAAAACAGCCATCAACGTGGATCTTTAATAAAGGCGGCTTGTACCCATGCCTGCAATAGACTTTCATATGTTGTTTCCTCAAAGTCTGTTTTAATGTATTTTGCTATTAAAAGTTAATATTTAAAGTTTACATTTAAACAAGATTTAACATGAGCTCTGCACGCTGCCATGCTCCACGCCCTGAGGAAGAGCTGGATATCCTCACACTCACCCGGGCCGAGGCAGCTCTCACACAGGGAGGGAGCTGCTGCAGCATTCAAAACATTTAAAAACCACCCCTGCCTTGAGGCTGGCCAGAGCTGGGAGAAAACCCTTCCCAGCACTTCCCTCCCTGCCGCTGCTTTGCTCCCAGCTTGGGAAGGTTTGCTTGGGGGCATTCCAGCATCACAAAGGGCTTTTCCAGCCTCGGGGATTCCAGGGAGCCCAGTGACTGACCCAGCTGCGCGCAGGCAGGGAAGCTCTTACACACAGACCCTGCCGAGCCAGAGCCCTCCAGGGCATCCCTGGAACAGCAGAGAGCAGGAAAGGCACAGCTGCAGCACTCATCCTGCTCCGTGCTTTCCCGTGAACACCATTTCCCCCCGGTCCTGAGAGCCCCAAGGAAAATCACTATCAGGGTGGCACTCAAGCTGCCACTTTTCTGCCACTCTGCCCTGGATCCACGGGCCAGCAGGTTTCTGTGGGAGCAGGAATTATTTGTGCAGCTCACAAGCTGCCCATCCCCAGAGAATTCCCTTGGGAACACGAAGCTTCCCACTTGCATTTTGTAGCCCAATTTGTAATTTAAGCGTATTTCAAGAGAGTTTAAATCGGAATGAGCTGACCTGGTGCCAGCACAGCATTAGATACGGGGCATCAGGAGACTCACCAGGCGTTCACTGCAGACTCTCCACTCCCAGCACTCCAGCTGCAGTTTTCCCATTTCTCACGGAGTTCTGTTTCCAGGATTCCCATCAGGAAACTGATGGCCGGTTCCAGATGCAAATCCCCAAGGCACCATTGAGCCCAGCCAGTGCTCCTCTCCCCCCCGAGCCCCCCCTCCCTCCTTCCTTCACCCCTTTTATAACCACGGCTCCACCCAGGACTCAGAAGGAGGCTCCCAGGTGCCTCCCGAGCCCAAATCATTCCAGGTGTTTCAGGAAATAAGTAGAAATAAGCTCGTCCCTTTTGGGGTAACGAATTATCTTTTCCCCCATTCTCCCTTCTGTCTCCTGTTCCCTAAGGCAGAACACTCGGATCAGGTGGGGGTCAGGGGGAAAATGCCAAGTCCAAAACCAAACCAAACTTGTTTTTCCATCGGTTTCCATCAGGAATGTTCAGTTTTCCCCGCCGACCCTCGGCCACAGGAGCAGCTTCTCGCTGGGACCCGGGGCGAGGTGGGCACAGGGACACCCATCCCGCTGCCTCCCGGGAAAGGGAGCTCAGCCCATCCCATAAAACGTTGTCACCGCAGCTGGGAAGGCGGCACAGTTTTATTCCATGAAACACGACCCCAGAGAGCCTCAAGTCCCGGGACAAACTCGTCCCACACAGCAGTTTTTCCCACGTACCAGTGCCAAAAGCACACACGTCCCCCTGCGGGTGCCACCACACGCAGGTGACCCCAGCGCACCTCTGTCCCCGCCGGCCACGCACCTGAAGGCACCACCCGCTGGCTCCCGGCGCTGCTGCCCGAGAAAGGGGATTTTCCCGTTCCCGGCACAGCTGCCGCCGGCACGGCAGGGACAGGCGAAGGGAGCGAGCCCCGCGTCCAGCGCTGCAGGGCGGACACGGGCCGGGCAGGGCCGGGACCGCGGCCCGCGGGTACCGCCCGCAGCTCCCGCCGCGCCGCCTTCCCCCGGGGCAGCAGCTGTCCTTGGTCATCCCTGCTGCTCCCAGGGAGTCAAAACCGCCCTGGGAATTTGCTTCTGACAGCAGTCACCAATTTTCTGATGGGAGTCCCTGAAACAGAACTGAGTATCTGTGGCAAATGAGGGTGCTACGGATGGAGCGATAGCAGAGGAAATCTTGTTCCTGCCAGTTACCCATGGGAAGAAAGTAATTCCCAGCAGTCTTATATTGGAAAACAGGGAAAGGGAATTCTGTGTCCTCTCCTTCTTAGAATGTACATTTTTACTGTCCTAAAAAGGGACCATTTGAGGCTTTAGAGAGATTGGCGTGGGTCAAGGATCTGCTGCCTTGGAAGGGCAAAAGGTGGAGCTGCCGTTTGTGACTGTGACAGACCTGAATAATTAGAGATCAATGGGAAGTTGTTCAGTGCCCAAGAAATGACAGAGAATGTCAGCTTGACTGGTGTCACATGTAGAGCTGGGACAATGACCCTGAACACCCCCAAAAGGTACCTTGGTCATCCCTGCTGCTCCCAGGGAGTCAAAACCGCCCTGGGAATTTGCTTCTGACAGCAGTCACCAATTTTCTGATGGGAGTCCCTGAAACAGAACTGAGTATCTGTGGCAAATGAGGGTGCTACGGATGGAGTGATAGCAGAGGAAATCTTGTTCCTGCCAGTTACCCATGGGAAGAAAGTAATTCCCAGCAGTCTTATGCTTGGAAAACAGGTAAAAGGAATTCTGTGTCCTCTCCTGCTTAGGATGTACATTTTCACTGTCCTAAAAAGGGACCATTTGAGGCTTTAGAGAGATTGGCGTGGGTCAAGGACCTGCTGCCTTGGCAGGGCAAAAGGTGGAGCTGCCGCCGTTTGTGACTGTGACAGACCTGAATAATTAGAGATCAATGGGAAGTTGTTCAGTGCCCCAGAAATGACAGAGAATGTCAGCTTGACTGGTGTCACATGTAGAGCTGGGACAATGACCCTGAACACCCCCAAAAGGTAAAGAAACCCTGAGCCCCGCAGTGATCAGACCCCATAGGGGCGGTTTATTTGAAGCGCCAGTAAGGAACAATGGGAATTCCCTGGCCCTCAGCTTGGTCCCGCCTGCCCACACCACTGCCCTCGGGAAGCGCTGCTCTTCCCGGCTGGAAAGCCAACAAACATTTTTTCCTTTGTCCCTTAAAATTCTTCTCTGAAAACCTCTGTTCTCCCACGTTTCTCCTCGAACACATCCTTCCCCCTTGCGTCTCCCCGGTCCCTCCCTGAGCGTGTGGCTTCGCTGCTCCCCGGCGCTTCGGCAATTAATATAATTGATGCTGAGGCTCGCTGGGCCGGCGAGGGGCACCGAGGGCTCAGGCCAGGGCCGGCCGTGCCAGCACCATGACGCGCTGCAGCTGCTCGTAGGACACAAACATCACCACGTTCCAGGAGCCCAGCCGCAGGAAGGACGGGACGAAGCTGTGCCGGCAAAAGCAGGGCTGAAGGGGACGTGCCGGGGACATCCCCAAAGGCCTGCACGAGGGTGGGGGAATTTGGGGGGCCCGTGCGGTCATCGCAGGCACTGTGCAGGTGCTTGACTCACCCCTTGTAGAGGCCGGCGGGGCCGTCCTGCATGAGCAGGGCCAGCAGGCAGCTCAGGGCGTTGCGGTACTGCCCGGGGCTGGCGTTCATGTACCGCGTCTTCACCACGTCCACTGGGGACGCCACCACCGTGGCACAGAACCCGGCGCCGAAGGCGGCCACGAAGTGGCACGGGACGTTGTCTAAAGGTGGGGAAGAGCCGGGGGTTGGATGCTGCAGGGACAGGGATGGCACCTGGCCGTGTCCCTCCGTGCCGTCCTCACCTGTCATGAGCTGTGCCCGCAGCAGCGCGTCCTTGAGCAGGTCGTAGGTGACGAGCTCCCCGCAGTTGATGATGGCATTGCGGGCGATGTTGGGCAGCGTCCCTGCGCAGGAGGGTGGTGGCATTGGGACTGCTGCTCACAGCCCCGACTGCAGCATCCTGGGCAGGTGCCCCAGCCCTGCTGCCCCCATCCTTCTTCCCCTCCTTGTCGCCATTTCCAGTCTACTCCCACCGCGTCCCTTTCCCACGCCCACCCCTGCGCACGCCTACCTCTCCAGAGCCCGCGGATGCCCTCCTCCCTGGCGATGGTGCGATAGGCGTCCACGGTGCCGCTGTAGCGGCGGGCGCTGTCCGGCAGGGCCCCGCAGGCCTGGAAGCGCACCTTGACCACGTCGGTGGGCTGGGCGCAGGCCACGGCCACAGCCCCCGTGGTGCAGCCGGCCAGGAGGCGCGTGGCCATGCCTGTGTCTGGAGAGGACAGGAATTGGGACTCCTGGCCCTGCGGAGCCCCCCGGCCCTGCAGGGACCCCAGGGCGAGTGGCTGTGGTGCTTCACAGAGGGCCAGCTCAGGGGGCTGTGCCCCCAGGGTGAGTTTCTCCCTGGGAAAGGGCAGTGCCTCAGGAAGGGGGTGCGCAGGGAAGTGCCGGACACTCACTCTCAGCGCCCTTGGGGGTGTAGAGCTGCTTCACAGAGTCGTAGAGCCCGATGCGGATGGAGGCGAAGCTCATCTGGCGCTGCAGCCCGGCTGCCAGCCCGCTGTAGAGGCTGCGGGCTCCCTCCGTCCTCACCATGGTGCTGAGCGTCCCCAAAACACCCCGGTACTGCACAGAGCTGATGGTGCGGGGGATCCTCACCTCGCCCTGGATCTGTGGGGTGCCCACTGTATCACCCAGCTTCCGTTCCTCCCCAGGTGTCCCCAGCTGCGTGGCAGCGGTGGCGTGCAGAGTCCCACGCCGTGTCCCCAGGCGCTCCCTTTGCCCGGGGGTTTTGGGGATCGTACCTGCAGCCGCACCTTGGCGGTGTCCAGGGGGAAGGTGCACAGGTCAGCAACGCAGCCGGCCATCCCCGCGCTGACGAACTTCATGGCGGCCGTCGGGGGCACCTCGGGGGGCTTCAGACCCACCATGGTGGCAGGGGGGCTGGAAGGAGAGGAGGGTTTGTGGGGGAGCCAGCAGGGCGCATCAGGACAGGGCTTCACGTGGGTGTCTTATTCGGCGACGGAGGTGATGATGTGCCATGGTGGCTCTTGGTGGCTTTGGTCAATCCCTAAAACCATATCCCTGCCCTGTCTGCTCCCTTCTGTTGCAGGGAAACTGAGGCACAGGGCTTGCTCAGCATGGGACCACCAATGCCCCCCCTTCCCTATCCCACCCCAGCCATAACAGGGGATGCTGGGGGAGATCATCTCCCCCAGAGTGACCTGCCCGGAGCCATGTCCCTCTGTGGCCTCACCGTAGGGACCTCGGCACAGTGTTCAGCTCCTGCCTTGCACAGACAGTGCCCTGAGAGCCGGCCCCCTGGCCCCACCCTTATATAGCACCCAGGGCGACATTCCAGCAGCCACGGATCGGGTGACAGGAAAACAGCGTTCCCCCGGTGGCATTTCACTTGATGGGGCAGGGTCACCTGGCACCCGACTGAGGTGGCTGTTGCAGCCCTTGGCCCCCCTCCCGGGGCTCAGCCATGGGGAGGGGCGTCCTGCCCAGGCCCCCTGCACTGGACTGGGGAGGAATGTCAGTTTTTTACCCTAAAACCACTCTGGGAAGGACGAGATGCAGAAAACCCTCGCCCCAAAGCTCCACAAGTGGTTTGGGAACAGTGCGGCACTGAGTTCTTTGTGCAGGGCAGGCTGGATCCCTCTGCCCGACAAGACCATGAGCCACAATCCATCCCAGACAGCTGCTGAGCTCCCAGCAGGATTGCCCCTGCATGGTGGAATGTGTTTCCCGAGCTCCGGTGGAGCTGGGGCTGGGTGAGCACCTTGGAGTGAAATCCACCATCAAACCCATGACACCTTTGGGAGCGTGGCCGGGCACTGGGTCTGAGGCTGCCACGAGGGACTGGGCTCAGGAGAAAGAGGCTGGAGGCCAAGGTGGAGTGAAGAAAAGCCCCTTTTCCTCCCTTTTTTAAAAACTCAGTGTGTTTAACCCTTGGTGCTCATTAGCCCCACATGCAGAAAGGATGTGCCTCAGGATGTGCTGCGAGCCTCCACACTCAGGCCTGAACTTGCCTTGTTTGAGGAGGACTTTGGTCCTGACACCCTGGAGCCACCTTTGCTCCATCCCTCGGGCTCCAGACAAAAGCTGCCTGGCACTGACAGCCCTCTCCAGCTGGCTCCTGCCTTGTTTTCCTGCCCGGCTCCACGGCTGACCCAAATCTGGAAGGAAGACGCTGTTTACCTCATGCCCAAGATATAGCTCAGGGTCAGTGCTGTGACCTCGGCCGTGGCAGTCATCCCAGCCCAGCTGGCATCCTGCCTGGGTCTTTTTTGGGGATGCCAGCAGGAGAAAGCAGCCTGCACGTCACTCCTGTCCTTCCAGGGGACACTGGGTGCCTTTACCTTCCATCCCGACCCTGCAAGGGCAGGGAAAGGGGCCACAAGCACAGGGCAAGTTGTGCCAGCAGTGACTGACGCATTCAGGGCGTCCCTGGGAAAAACAACACTGCAGAAGTATGAGAAAAAAGGGATGCTGATCCTTTGGCTGCTGAAATCCTGAATTCCACGTGTGGTTTGACAAGCAGCTCAGACTGGAAGTGACTTAGCCCACCATGATGCATGGTGATACTCAATTCCTTGGCAAAGACCTCTCTTTCCATGTGCTCCTGGCCACCTCTGATTCCAGCAGCGTTTCTCTGACCTGGAAGCTCATGTGGGAGAGACTCCAGTCTACTGTTGAGGAAAGGTTCCTGCCCTGGCATAGGGACACTTGGCACAGGCTGACAAGAAACCAGGGGAATTTTATTGAAACAAATGCTGGAGACAGCAGTACAAAAATAACTGAGCTCTGCTGGCATCAAAGTCTGTTCTCTGAAAGGTGTACAAAAATAATTTAAATATAAAAGTCTCATCTTTCTAGTCATCCTCTTTTGTACACCCACCAGATTTTACGGTGCCCTTGGCCTGTGTTCACACAAGCACTCTGGGCACCTGTGGAAGCAGAGAATTGTGTTGCCCACCAATTGTTTTTGAAAGGGCCATTTCACAGGAATAAATCCTAAAACTGGACTACTTGGAGAGCAGATGGATCATGGGTTATCCACACAGGTGTGTGTCACTGGGGACCTGCCCCTACAAGACACAGCTCCCTGTGGGTGCCCACAGGCTTTAAGCCCTTCTAAATATGTGACTTCAATTAACTAACCAATTAGGCAAACTAAAAGCAGAGCCTGAAAGCTGTGGCTTCCACCTCCCCTTTACTGGGGGCTCCTCCTTTGTCCGTGCATCCGGCCATGGCTTAGGAAGCTCTGCTGTGCCAGCACTATTCCTTCTTGGAGAGCTGAGCAGAGAAGATCCTGGCGATTCTTTTGGCCTCCTCCTCAGAGAGCTCGGGGCTGGGCCTGGGACGGTTTGCTCTTCGGTAGGGGATTCCTCCAGGCACTGCTGCACTCCTGCTCTGGGCAGACAGGGACCAGGTGTCAGAGCTCTTGCCTTCATGTCGTGGCAAACCACAGGGCTGTGCAGAGGGTGACAGGTTAGACACACAGGAAAAACCACCCCAATGAGAAAGAGAACGATCTGAACCCTGGAACGGTGAGTGCCCACCCCTGGCCAAAGTCTCCCTGTATGAAGTCAAAGAAAGGCAGTGGTGTACTCACTGGGACCTGACTGCCTTTTGGCTTTCCATTATTATTTTACTTTATAATTTCCAGAACCAAATCTCACAGGGCAGAGGCAATGCTCTGTCAACAACAAATCCTAAGCCTGCTGACAGGACAAGGCAGGGAAGGGGTTTAAACTAAAAGAGGAGAGATTGAGATTAGATATTGGGAAGAAATTCTTCCCTGTGAGGGTGCTGAGGCCCTGGCACAGGGTGTCCAGAGAAGCTGTGGCTGCCCCTGGATCCCGGGAAGTGCCCAAGGCCAGGCTGGACGGGGCTTGGAGCCACCTGGGTGACTGGAAGCCATGGCAGGGGGTGGGTCTGGATAAGCTTCATGGTCCCTCCCAGCCCAAACCATCACTGAGTCCATGATAAACGGGATGGGCCAGGCTCAGCTGCCTGCAGGGACCCCAGGGCAGCAGCCCACGAGAGGAAAAGCCCTGGTTTAACCAGTGTCTTCTCCTCTGTGCTTGGCCAGCAGCCTCCCGGCAGCCTGGCTGTGTCCCTGGTGCTCCAGCAGCACGGGAAGATGAGTAATTTCAGCACACAGAGAAACACATTTCCCCCCAGCTAGTTCAGAGAGGGGCTGTGCCTGTGGAGCACGGAGAAGAGTGATCCTGCTCCGGGAGCCTTTAAGGGAGGAAGCTGGGGGCCCAGGAAGGTCTTTTGGAAAACTGATCCAACAAGCTGGCCTTTCACCTACATCCCTGGGCTGCTTCTCTGAGCCTTGGGAAAGGTCTCCTGAGATGCCCAGCTCCCTCCCAGGAGAAACAGCTCCAGGACCCTGTTTTGTGCGCTTTGAGATGCACTGTCTGGAGAGGGAAATGGCTTTTTCAGGAATAAGTGAGTCCTTGTGTTTGGTAACCTGTGCATTACAGCCTGCAGGTAAAATACTTCCTGTTCTTATTGCACATGGATAATCAGGAGAACCTTTGCTTTGCCCTTCTTTCTTCTTAACAATTCTCCAGGATGAATTTCCTAAACCAAAGTACAAGGAGCCCAGAGAGATTAAATGCAGACCTGGCCACAGCAGAAGCTTAAAAACCAGCAGAAAGAGCTGCTTGATGGGCAAAGCACCTCCCTTGGACAGGGCTGTCCAGAGACCAGGACAGCAGCTCATTCTTCCCACACTGTTTTCTGCCCAAGGAACAGCCAAAAGGTCAGGAGTGGCTGGAGAGGGGCAGTGACCAGGCCCTCTGCTGATCCCTGAGTTCTGCACAGCACTTGAAAACATCTCTCCAGGAAACTCCCCCAATCTTCCAACTAACCCTATTTCAAAGGTGCACAAAACTGCATTTCCTGCCTCCCACAGCTCCCCTTTCCCATGTGCCACGTGTCCTGCACAGCCAGGGATGGAGAGCCAGCACCTCCCATTTTCAATGTAAGGAACAGAATCCCAGAATGGTTTTGGTGGGAAAGGACCTCAGAGCCCATCCAGTGCCACCCCTGCCATGGGCAAGACACCTCCCAGTATCCCAGATTGCTCTAACCCCAATGTCCAGCCTGGCCTTGGGATCCAGAGACAGCCACCGCTGCTCTGGGCACCCTGTGCCAGGGCTCACCACCCTCACAGTCAGTAATACCCTCCTAACATCTAATATCCCTAAAATGCTCTGTTCTCCAAAGCCACAAGAGCAGGTGCCTGATGCCATCTGATGTCACCGAGGTGAAGGAGAGCAGTCTGTTTGCTCCCACAGTCAGGAAACCAGGTGTGCTTGGAAAACACACCACTGGCATGTTTCAGAGATCAGCACCTGAAATACACCTCCTCCCATCTTCCTACCATTGCCCAATGTGCAGGATGAAGTGGTGTTAGATGTGTGTGTCTATCCCAATGACCTCCCTGAGAAGGAACTTCCAGCTGTGGGAGAGGTTTAACACCAGTTCTTGCTGCTGTTTCACATGTACAGGTGTGACTCAAAATGAGTGAGGTTTGAAAGCACCATTAACACTCCCAGCTCAGAGACATGACCAGAATCACAGACTCATGGAATTATTGAGGTTGCAGAAGACATGTAAGATCATGGAGCTGCTCCCTCAGCACTGCCAAGGCCACCATTATCCCCTGTCCTCAAGTGCCACATCCACATAGCTTTAAATCCCTCCAGGATGGGGGGACTCACCACTGCCCTGGGCAGCTGTGGCAGGGCTGGACAACCTTTAGGGGAAGAAACTTTCCCCAATATCCACTCTGAGCCTGCCCTGGCCCAGCCTGAGGCCGTTCCCTCTCCTCCTGTCCCTGTTCCCTGGAGCACAGCCCGACCCCCCGGCTGCCCCTCCTGTGCAGAGCCACAAGGGACCCCTGAGCCTCCTTTTCTCCAGGCTGAGCCCCTTCCCAGCTGCCTCACCTGCTCCTGGGGCTCCAGCCCCTTCCCCAGCTCCCTTGCTCTTTTTTGGACACCAAACCTTCCTGTGACCCATCTCCCAGGCAGTTTCTGGCTGCCAGTTTGCTGCCCTGCATAGTTTCCAGAGCACACATCTGAAGTGTCGTGTTTACACCGCTCCTCACCCCAGCACAGGCTCAGGTCAGTGCCCATCCCAGGTCTCCCTGTCTGTCTCTCGGGCTCCAAGTGCCTGGGGCTCAGCCAGGAAGCACACGTGTTCCAGGGGGAAGATGCAAGAGGAAAGGGGACTCGTGCCCCGAGGATCACGCTCCGCTCCTCTCCCTGCAGGAATGGCAGCGACACTGAAACCAGCCCAGGATTCTGCTGTGCCTGTGTGCCAGGGGCTGGGCTACAGCAGATCCAGGAGCACGTTACAGGCCATGGGGTCCTCCAAGGTCAAGGAATTGCAGTCTTGGAGGCAGAGGAGGTTTCAGCGCTGCGGCCCAGCGAGCTTGGCAGCAGCTGTGTTTGTGCACAGGGATGGAGGGCGAGCAGATCTGTGTCAACAGGCCACAACCCACCCTGGCACCGGCCTGGCACCTGCCCCTGCTTTCCAGCAAGGAAATCAGGAAAATCCAGCAGATCAAGAAGAAACAACACAACCAAGAAAGGAGGTTTTGGCTGTTGCTGCCGTTGGCATTTTGGAACATATAAATGCCTGTTTTAGTGAATCTGCCCAAGGCTGTGTTATTGCTAATTCACACCGAAGGTAAGTCTGTATGCACAAATATGAATTATTCTGAGTAAAACTGGTTTCCACATAAGTTTCTTATTCTGTTGGAATGTTCCTAGAGGTGAGAGGGAAAAGAATATCACTGCATTTGGAGAGAGACTTAGCCAAGGGCCTGGAGTGCCAGAACAAGGGGAATGGCTTCCCACTGCCAGAGGGCGGGGTTAGATGGGATACTGGGAAGAATTGCTTCCCTGTGAGGGTGCTGAGGCCCTGGCAGAGATTGCCCAGAGAAGCTGTGGCTGGTCCTAGAACCCTGGAAGTGTCCAAGGCCAGGCTGGACAGGGCTTGGAGCACCCTGGGATGGTGGAAGGTGTCCCTGCCATGGCAGGAGGGGGAACAAGAGGATCTTTGATGTTCTTTAGCACCCGAACCATTCTGGGATTCTGGCATTTTATGGAAAAGTTTATCACGCTCAGATTTTTCAAACCTATCCTCTAAGCCCCCCTCAGAGCAGGAGAGCAGTGTGGAAGACAAGAGCTGGGAAGGACCCCAAGAATGGGAAGCGTTAGTTTGATGTAATGGGGAGAGAAGTAAAAAACAAAGAGGTTTTGTGAGGCTCTACAAAACTCTGATCCCTGGAAGGTGGTCACAGCTCCAGGCTGAGCCTGACCTGCTGCAGCACCTCCTCAGGGCCCTGTGCTCTCACAGCAGGAGCTGAGACCACGTTTTTGTCTCAAATGCTGCTCGCTGTGACTGCCCAGCTCCACACCTCACCACTGCTGTGTCATTCCAGGAGGGAAGCTGGGGAAAGCCAGGGAGAGGTGGCAGGGGCACCAGGAAGGTCAGAAGACAAGCTGCCAGCTGCGAGGTGAGAAAGGGCTCAGGTGATGTCCCGAGGACAGCTCGGGTTTCAGCCCTGCTGTCACGCTTGGGGTTTGCTGACCTGTGCAGAACCAAACCAAGGCCAGATTTAGAAGCTGATGTTCCAAAGGCCAATTAAAAACAAAACTATGAGGAAGCATTTTTTCTGAACTCTGTGCATTGGTAGCAGTGAAAAACTGGTTCTTCGCAGAGGGAATGTGATGAACAAGGCACAACCAAATCCTGTCCCAGCCCATCCTACAAGTGTTGCAGCAAAGGATTAGTGCCAGCCAACCCTCAAATTAATGGCTTTAAGATCAAAATATCCAAATAGTGCCTTGCTAACATTTTACCTAATTAGGAATAATTTGCAGGGCTGTAGTTCCAGCCACTGAGTTCAGAGCTGCAGACAGGGGGTTCAAGTAAAGCTGATATTAGTATTAAACCAGAGGTTTCTGTGCCTTCAGAGCTGATAGGGCCTGAGTCTGTTTTGATCCATCAGGCAAGCTGCTCCCAGTGACATAAATGTCCCTTGAAGTGTTTCATAGCTGATATGGAGAGGAAGAAAGGCATCACCCTGCCTAGGAGTGGTAAGCAAAGAGCTGCTGCACACCCAGATCCACACCCACAGCAGAGCTGGGGCTGGAAAAGGATCACGGAATTCCAGAATGGTTTGGGTGGGAAGGGACCTTGAAGCTTATCTCATTTCAACCCCTGCCATGGCAGAGACACCTTCCACTGTCCCAGGCTGCTCCAAGCCCCATCCAACTTGGCCTGGAACATTTCCAGGGATGGAGCAGCCACAGCTGCTCTGGGCACCCTGTGCCAGGGCCTCAACACCCTCAGGGGGAAGAATTTCTTCCCAATATCCAATCCAAATCTCCCCTCTTTTAGTTTAAAACTGCTTCTCCTTATCCCATCACTACATGCCTGTGTAAAAAGTCTCTCTCTTTTTTATAACCCCTCCTTAGGAACTGAAAATAAGATAAATACATAGACATTGAAACAACTGAGCCACAAACTTCTGGCAATAAATAAATCCTTATGAAGATAAAAAAGCAAACCCTCAGCAATCCACAGCTTTCCTGCAGGAGGAACAATCACTCAAGCCATTTTCTGCTCCCTGGGTCACAGAACCATCACAGGATACCTCTCCAGGAACCCCCTCCTGCTGCAAACTCCCTCATTCCATCCTGGTCCAAAAGAGATAAACTGAAGCCATAATCACAAGTGAGAACCCCTCAGAACCGGGCACGTCACCTCACACTAAAACACAAAGAAGTGCAGAGTGAGGACCTGCCCCTGCCCCTGCCCCAGCAGCATTTCCTGAGCACGCTCAACAACTGGTGGATATAAAGGCATAGGGACCACAGAGACACAGCCATGGATGTTAAACCATCCTCACGGAGAGAAGAGGTGTCAGGAGAGTCCCCCTGACTCTGCTGGAAGCCATCACATCTAAGCTGAGTGCTGGCAGGCCAAGCAAGGGAGAAGTTTTGTTCCTGCTTCAGGGAATGGACTGAGTTGGACAGTAAAGGAAAGGACATCCCATACTTACTTTTGGAGGTGTGGAAGGATGGGAAGAAGTGCAGAGCAGTCTCATGGAGGCCTCCATCTCCTGGGGTGGAAGGAAGAAGTTGGGAACAACAACAGGACCAGATCTGAGCAGAATTGTTCAGGAACAACCTTTGGCAGTATGCAGTTGCACAGAGGTCCAGGTGCGGAAAAAGCCTCAGCTGTTAACAGGTCCCAAACAGTAAATTTCATTTGTTTTAATCATTATTCCATTGTTCTGAACACGTGGTTCTCTCACCTGGGCTCGCAGAGCACAGGAAACTGACTCGCTTTAAAACAACACCTCACAAATCTGCAGAGGACTTCATCCTGCAAAGATTCCAACACTCACTCCAAGATTTGTAATTTGTGCAAGAAACATTAGGAAGTATTTTAAAAGCAAAATAAAGCACTTTCTTTTGATACAGGAGAAACACAAGAGCTCTAACACATGGGGAAAAATAACAGGGAGAGAAAATGCAACAAGATGTAGGAACTACCCAAAATGAAGTGACTCACAAATCACAAAATTTGCTGGCTACAGGTTTCAAGAAAGTCATCACTACAGTGTGTGAAACAGTGTAACGGGGTCCTCCAACACCCTTCCAGATCACCAGCTCTGGATTCATTTCCCAGGGAAGAACTTCACATTGCACATTTCTCTGTCCTGAGGCCAGGGAGACTCTAACTAAGCAGAAGAGCTAAGTGCAAGAGTGTTTAAGAAAAGAGTAAAGGATACAAAGTGATTTTTTGTTTGATGGGGTTTTCTGAGCCTTCCACTGGGTCTTCACTGCTGTCATCAGGGAAGCTCTCACTGTTTCTTTCTGAGCCAGCTTGGGCAGATACACTCTGAAGACAGTTCTCATCAGAGCCACTTCCTTCCTTGCCTTGATGATCTCCATTTACCTCAGCATCTTCCTCCTCCCCTCTCTCAGTGGCTTTTTGATTGGTCAAACCCATGTCTCCTGAGGATGGCAGCAGCTCCTTGGAGCCTGCAGGGAACTCCACACTTTTCTGTATGGGTTCAGTGCTCAGTGCTGTGCTCCAGAGGCTCGGCTCAGCTGGCAGAAGCAGCTCCCTCTCCGCTGTTCCCGTGCTGCTGGGGAGGGTCTGGCAGTCTCCTGCTGCTGTTCCCGTGCTGCTGGGGAGGGTCTGGCAGTCTCCTGCTGCTCCCCAGGGGCTGTTCCCAGCCAGGTGGGGGCTCACGGGTGGGCTCAGGGCGCTGAGCACGCTCTGGCTGTCCCCCTGCAGCATGCTGGACAAGGTGCTGCTGTTCCCTCTTTGGAAACAGCCCACATCCATGGAGTGCTGATCCTCTGCCCTCGGGTCCCGGGGCTGCAGCTCAGCCCCCTGCCCTGTTTCGGAGATCACGCTGGACCAGGGGCTCGTCCTGTCTGTCATGGCTGTTATTTCATTTAGAGTCCGTGGCTCTATAACATCTTCTTCATATTCCTCTTCACTGTGTGGCTGGATGGCAAAAGCCCCTTCCTTTTCCTGGACATCACCCTCTGGATGCTCATCTCCAGGGACAATGGGGCCTAGGAGCTGGTGCAACAAGTGTCTCCCAAACACGGGTCTGCCGGCACGGCGCGGCGGCTGCGTGCCACTGGGAATGCTGGCATCTCCAGCTGGCATCTCCAGCTGGCCTCCAGGAGCTTCGCTGCCTCCTTCCTGCTTCCAGCTGGGTACCTCCAAAGCACCCAGCTTCCTGCTGCTCTCCTGATGCACGTCAGAAGCTTCCTTGCTATTTTTAGTTATAGTCTGCAAGTCTGGTTAACAAAAAACAGCATCAGTAAATGCATGGAGCAACAATTCAGCTTAAGTCTGATTTATGTGGGTTTTTGGCAGAAAGTTCTAGATGCAAGGATGGTTGGGAGCTAAACATGCACAGCTTTGCAAACACTGCTGATGTGAGCATGTTCTGCTCTGCTTCCCACTGACAAGGGCAGGGGAACAGAAATGCTCAGGAAAAACAGAAGCATTGAGGATGAAATTAATGGTAAATTTTACAAATTCTTTAAAAAGCCGCAATCACTTATTTTTGCTTCCCAGTGAGCAGATCCTATTCACTGCTTGCATCCTCTGAGAATTGAGGTTGCCAGTATTAGGTCAAGTGGCCAACTGTTTTGAGGCAAGTCCTGCTCCAAGGGAATGGTGGGGGACATTTGGAAATGGAGGAGGAAGAGTCTGGAACAGATTGTAGAGGAGGGCATGTAAAAAAAGCAGTAAAAACAATTGCTAAGGATGAGAAAGGAAACAGAAAGAGCAAAACCTTGGAGAATAAAGAGCAGGAAAAAAGAAGATCAAAGTGGCAGAAGAATGGCAAATTCTGGCATAACAGGGATGTGCCCTTCATCTCCTGGAAATGCTGCTTCCCTGTAGGAAGCCATGGGCAGAAAAAGCATGGAATACCTTTCCAACTGGCAGCAACTGCAGCTCTGGGCTCCAGTTTACTCTCTGCTCTGGTAAGTTATTTTACAAGCACCAGCAGGGATTTGATTTCCTTGTCACTTTGCTACTCACAGCAACAACTCACCATTGATTAGGCTGCTGACCTGCGACACCAACTGACTAGATTTTTCCAAAAGATGGCAGCCTTTGGGATCCACTTCTCTGCTCGTGGAGCCCTGATGGTGACTCTCCCACTCCTCATGGCCTGGTTTGGATGTGCTGAAGTCAGGAAGAGACCTGGTCAGCTTCTCACTGAAGTATCTCTGAACCTCATCCAGCTCGCTCAAGTTCTTTCTGCAATCAGTGGTAAAAAATTTGGTCAGAGAGGGAAAATGAGCCTGTGGCAGTTGGGTTTAAGCTGGATCATTCTAGCCAACAACAGATAAATATGCAAATAAAAGATTAAAGGTTTTTATTGAAAAGCAGATCAGTAGGCAAGTGCTGAGGTTGCTCTAAGCAAGATGATAACAATCCAGAACAAATCCTGACTTGGCTATGAAACTTGCGCTGGAAGCTAAAAAAGAGCTAGTTCTAAGCTTACTTAATCAAAGGAGTTGGAATTGAGATGACCTTCCAATAAAAGTCAAAAAGACAAGGATATTCTGTGACTTATGTCTGAGCTTGATAAAAAGGATTTCTATGTGTTTAAGATCTAGGGATTTTAAGATACTTTGCTTGTGGTAGGGATGAAGCACCTCAGGAAGTCTCTTTCATTCCTGTATTCCTACAGATAATAAATACTATTCTTCTAAATTTATACCTCATTTAAAGCTAGAATCTAGTCAAGAGAACACTGCTTCTAGCAAGAAGAAAAACATCCTGATGGGAAAGCATACGCTGCTCTGTGCACCCCAAAAATGCTCACAGGCTCATCCTTGTGCCTGTGGAAGGCAGCTGAAGGGACTGGTGGCTCCACAGCGCCTGTTCTGTGACAGCAGCACCAGGGTGGACAAACCCAACCATTCCCTCCCGACTGGGACACGCTGCTGCTGCTGTTCCCCTGGCAGCTCCCCACCCAGCCCCTGATTTTCCAGCCTGGCCTCAACCTGCTCTGAACGACACTGGAATCTCTTTGTGGGTTATCCCACCCTTTCACTCCCATCTCCTCAGAACTGCATCCCTCACTCCCATCTCCTCAGAACTGCATCCATCACTCCCATCTCCCCAGCAGGGTTCCCTCGCTCCCATGTCCCCAGCAGGGATCCCTCACTCCCATCCCCAGCAGGGACCCCTCGCTCCCATCTCCCCAGCAGGGATCCCTCGCTCCCATCTCCCCCAGCGCTGCGGTACCTGAGCGCGGTGAGGAGCGCGGTGCGCGAGGCCGGCGCAGCCGCGTCCCGCCGGGCACGGTGCGCGTTCCCGTTCCCGCCCGCCTGCTGCAGCGACTCGTGGAAGCGGCGCACGTTCTGCATGTGCTCCTCGTGCCGGGGCGTCTGTGCGCCAGGGGGGCCAATCCTACTGAGAACAGGATTGTTTAACACCAAAAACCAGACTGGAACCCCTCGCTGTGCAGAGTCTGCCACTAAGAACAGCCCATGTCCTGAAATCCACTAAAGAGCCGCCGACGGATGAAGCGAGTTCTTCCAAATGTGCACAGGAATGTCATTTACTGTCTCAGACTTATACCAAAGTCAGGTTAGTAGTGGGGCTGGTAGGGAGCTCCCACGCCTGCTGGCAGCTCCCAAGGCAGCTGTTCAGATCCCAGAGGGGCGGCACACAGTCCCTCTAAACTTCAAAGACACATATGGAAAGAGGATCATCTCTGTAGGCTAAATAAACAAATAATAAACTGAGACACTCTCACTCATCTGAAGGGACAGAAAGCAGGAATTACTGCAGGATATCTGACAGTCCCCCTCCTGTAATAGGCAATACTACAGCGCTTCACCAGCTGCCATTCACTGGTCATGGACAGAAATTAAGGCAAAATAAATGGGATGCATCAGGAATACTCTATTCTAAGTTAACCTTACTAAAAATAAAACCAAATACAGACACAACCCTCATTCTTATCAAGGTCTGGAGAAAGTACCTGCCAGCTTCAACAATGGCACCATTTAAATCCTTATTTACTAGGTGGAAATGAAACAAATCAGGAAGTATCAATGACAAGGAAAGAACATCTGGGCTGTGCCAAAAGGAACCTGTCCCAGGACTGCTGCCTCCTGCACCTCTCTCTCACGGGGAAAGGGAATGGCCATTAATTTTTAAGCCCAAACACAGTGGACACACTGACAGGGTGCACCAATTTTCCAGTAGAGTCAACTGGCTTTAGAAAGGTATTTCTGAGACCTGAAAATAACAAAAAAGGTTGTCAGCCTGTGGACTTACTGCTCTCGAGCAGGAACACTGACTTCCTTTGACAAGGAATGCAACATCTGCTTGGACAAGTTTGTAGAATTATTAGGACATGCTGGAAAGCTGACCTTCACCTAGGATGAAAAGGGAAAAGGAACACTGTACATGAGTCTTTCACAATAAGAAAATAAGAGAAATTAAGGTATTATCCTGCTGATCTAGCAAAACTTCAGGCTTTCTAAACAGCTTTAAATTTTCAAATGATTTCCCCGAACTCCCTCCATGCTATCAGAGAGTAAAGTGATGAAAAGTAGGATAAAGGCTTACTTTTATGTCTGTAACACACCCAAGCATATCTGGGAAGTCTAGAGAATAAAGAAACCCCCCCCAAAAAAGGCAAATATCCCAGAAAAATATTCCTGCCAAATTAGATATTTCCTAACCAATGAAAAGTTGAATCTACTGTATGTTTCTGAGCACCAGCTGTCACCCAAAGCAGCAAACACAACTATGCCATGCTCCCAGACATCCAAATGCACAGAATACTCTCCTAAAAAAAATCCCCCACAGCCATGAAACAACCACCGAGTGAAGGCACTGGGATGCTCATGACCTGGTTGAGGTGCTGTAACCAGCACTGGCCAGCAGCTACCATGGAAACCTGGAGCAGAATTCCTAGGGAATTAGGTGGTTTTGGTACATTTACGCAGACCGGTCCACGACAGTGCTGATTATTAGCAACCCAGTGAAGTGTGAGAGGGGAGGACATGGAAGGACATACAGAGGAACTTTCCGGCTGGCTTCGGGCCCTGGCCTGCCTTTCTTCCTTGAGATGGTTTATGTTTTGGAGAGGGGACACGGCCACTTTAATCTGCCCTCGGCACTGCCCGCTGAAGTCTGTGATGTTGTACCACCCGCACACCAGCTGGAAGCCAGAGAGGAGAGGAGAGAGGTCCACGGATGCAAATCCTATCACTCGCTCCGACTCTGGGGAAGAAGGACACAAGGCACACTGATATCAATCATTTTCAGCCCTGGAAACGTGGCTTGGAAGCTGACCCGAGGTGCAGAACAATCCTGTCCAACAGGGGGACCTTGTTTGGATGACCTGGGTTACGTTCAGCTAAAAACATCCCTGCAGAACAGTGAAAGCCCAGGGCAGGGAGAGGGACTGGCAGCAGAAGCACAGAGTGCACCCCGTGCTCTGCATACACAGGAAGTTTATTTTTGAAGCAAAGATCAGACAGCTGAACTTCAATGTGCAAAAAGAAAGAAATAAAAGTATTTGGCTACAACTGGCTGGCCAAGCTTCAACCAACTGCAGCAACAACAAACAGCACGTGAAGGAAGCAGTTAAGAATTTCTTTCAGCAGGAAAATCCAGCCTCTAAAGCACCATCAAAATAAAACCAGAGAGAATAAGGATGAACCAAATCCTGTAAGATGATTAATGGGAAAAGGATGCCAAGGGCCAGGAAATCTTTGGGTATTTATCTCTGGTATTCTTCTTGTACAAGGCAAAAGATGGCATTGCAATTCTACTCTCCTATTCACTTGACAGAATTTATTTTCCTTGCATGAAATAGAAAAACCTAAGGAAGGGGATGCAGAGAACACACTCCTCTTAATACTGAGCCACAAACTTTACCTGCTTTATGCCACACTTTGAAGACCAACGTTTGCTGCGGATCCAGGAGAAGCTCTTTGGATAATCTGTTAGGAACAAAAACCATAATATTTTATGCAAAGCAGGAAAAAGCAGTAAAATGCTTCTGAGGTTTCAGTGCCATTTTATCTACAGTTTCTTTCTGTACTGATGGGGGCAGGAACAAAACAAACCCCAAAATTACTGAGCCTCAAAGCACAACACATCACTATATAGTTCAGGCTTCTGCTTATTCAAGAAGTATTTCCCTCTCCTCACTCTTGCTGTACATTTAAAAGACAGGATAAAGGAATTGTATAGTACCAGAAATACAGTTTATTTCATGACTCTTCCTCACTCTTGCTGTACATTTAAAAGATAGGACAAAGGAATTGTATTTATTTCATGACTCAGAAACACAGTGACAGTAAAGCACTGGGGTTATGGTTCAAAGCTGTAATGTTTGAAGTTCAGTGCTGGAGATAAAAAAAAACAAAAAAACCAACAAATGGAAAACTGAAGTGTTAAATGTAGAACTTTTTTTAAGCTCTTTGAAGGGATTCAGATCTTAGAAACACTAGAGGAGAGACAAGATTGGATCACACAGGTTAATCCTGAATACTTCCATGTATGGCTTGATCTGCTGAGGTTCCTTGAAGGAGCCAATTCATCTTTTTAAATTTAAGCTCAGATATCCAGGTCTGAGCTAACAAACCCCCAGCCATAAGCCCTTTTCACACCTGCCTGGCTGTCAGACCCAGGGAGTGCCTGTGAATCCCCACCTCTCACCTTGCCTGCTGCTGGAAGTCCCAGACTGGGGAGTCTGTATTCCCCACCACTGGAGTGGTTACTGGGGCATCTGCTCCAGCAACAGCAAACGACACACAGCTGCTGGGGGCTGCCACTTCCCGCTCTGTCAAGGGACTTCCTGAAATGACAGAGAATTAAACACAGATTTTTTAATTAATAACAACAACAACAGCAACAAAATCTAAAGGCAGTTCAGCAATTAAGACCACACAGCTGGCAAAGAAATCCACCATCTAGAAAATATTCCTTTTCACTGGTGGAGCTGATAGCATGTTATGTTTACAGTGGAAGCAAATATTACATGAACCTTTCACAGGGCAGAAACTGGAATATTCAAGGGAGAAACAGAAAAACCATTTGCCCAAAACCATCTAAGAAGTCAGAAGTAAAACTAGGAATACAACCCAGGTCCTGAGGACCCTATTCCAGTGCTTGAGCTACTCTCCATGCTGCAAGACAGAAATATTTAAATATTTCTGCAATACTCAAAAGAAACCTCCTTTATATCATCAAAAACTTGGCAATAACAAACAAAATTGCACCAGTTTTTCAAAGACTATGAATTCCAGAAGATTCTAGAATTATTATAAAAATGCATCTGCAGGGCTCAGATTCTTTTAGAATTACATACCCTTAAATCATGGCTTGCATTTGACTCTTAGCTGTGTTATCAGGGGAAGAAAAGCTGAGTACAGTGAGCCAGCTTTAGAAATTTATTATGTGCTAATTTTCAGGAGTCCATGAGATAGGGGCATCTTGGGGTTTAGTTATTCAGTCAATGCTTAACCTGGAGTTTAGCTATTCAGACAGTGCTTAATTTCAGAATTCAGCTGTCATCTCCAATAGGTAACATTAAATTGTTTATATTTTGTAGTTTATTAATGAAGATAGGTTGTATAGTGCAGCCTTCTGCTCTCCCTGTACTCACACAGTGACTGGGGCTCCAACACCACAAAGCCAAGTTAAAAATCAGTGCCTGCCATTCCCTCTGCTGGACTAGGAACAGATCTCAGAAGAAAACAAAGAAACAGAAAACAAAGAAAGAAAAAAGAAAGGCAAGAAAGACAGAAAAGGAGGGGTGTGAGGTGTTACCTTTTAAACTTAGATGCATTGCTCTTTCCACCAGGATATTGACAGCCACCGTGTTTTCCAGGATCATCTCGTCTTCTTCCTGCGGTTCGCCGCTGGCGATCCCTGAGCCTACAACGTCCAGCTGCTTGTCAGAGAGCTGCTGGCTCAGAGCAGGGCTCTCCCCCGAGCCTTCGTCCTCAGTGCTGCTGCTCTCCTGGGCGCAGGGCGCTCTGGGCAGCGCGCAGGGCGCGAGGCTGACGCGAACGCGCAGCGCGGCTCCGGCCAGGTCTGCGGCGTTGCACCGGAACAACGGATACACGCCTGCAGGAGAGGGCACAGGCAGCCAGGAGCTGAGCCACGGGAAGAGCAGGAGCCTGAAGAGCAGCTGCTACAGCTCACTGCTGCAGAGATCTCGCAGCAGCCAGCAGAACGAGTTTTGATTTTCAGTGTAATTTCTATGTGAGTTATCACCCAGAAGTACAAGCTGGGAAACATTAAAAACCACGACCAATCCCCCAAATTTGGTACACCTTCATTTTCCCCCAGCAACTCAGATTAAAGCACATCAACTTCCTGAGAGCCCTGGGAACAGCGACTCAGCATAATTTTATATACATATACTGAGAACATAAGATATACCCTGCATAAAAATTTGTTTTTAACTCTTGTTGTTTCTCCCTTTCCTGAGTGTATCTAAAAGAAGAGCCTATCAGCCCACAAATCTGGTAGCTGATGAGTACCATGTAGATGATAGAAGCCATAAACTAAAACAAAAGTTCCACCTCCGTGTGAGGAAGAACTGTCCACAGAGGGGGCAGAGCCCTGGAACAGCTGCCCAGGGTGGGCCTGGAGTCTCCCTTTCTGGAGACATCCCAAACCCACGTGGATGTGTTCCAGTGTCACCTGCTGCAGGGGACCCTGCCTGGGCAGGGGCTGGGACTGGGTGCTCTCCAGAGATCCATTCCACCCCTGACCACCCTGGGATTCTGTCCAGGACAAAACAAAGCCATGAACATTTTGTTTAAAGTGACTGGAGAAGGAGGCACATTACAGTGCCCACAGGGAGGAATGAGATGTGACCCCGTGTTTCAGGGACTCACCACTAACGCTCAGCGTTCTCCCGGATCTCTCTGCCAACGCTGCCAGGTCGACGTAGGCAGATCCAACAAGACGATCTGTGTCAAGGGGTCTTTCCGCCTCATCTTCCTTGCCACATGCCCACCACACCTGGATTTCTAACTTCTCCTCTCTGAAGAACCAGAGCAGGCCCTGGCTCCTTCTGAGAGTCACCTTGCTGGGTTTCCTGAAGCTCACCGTGACACTCTGCGCGTCCTCGCTCACTTTTGGCCGCCTCGGCCGCATGCAGGTGGCCTCCTGGTCGTACAGCTTGTACCTGAGGTAGCAGTAGGTGCCTTTGTGCAGGTGTGCCTGGCCCGTGAGCGGCACGCAGCGGAGCGGCAGCCACACCCGCGGCGCGGAGACCGTCACAGCCACCGGGCTGGCGCCCCGCTCCCAGTCCCCGCTGCCGTCCTCGCTGTCCTCCAGGTTCTCCTGGCTGCTCCACCCCAGGAGCCTGGCAGCCTCCAGGACACGCTCCCTGTCACCCTGGCGGGCAAAGGCAACGGAGAGCTCCAGCCCTCCCACAGGGGCCTGCACGGCGCTGGCGCGGCGCGGAGGCAGCGGGTCCTCGGACACGGTCACCGGGAACCAGCCTGAAATTCCTGCGGGAGGAAAGAGCCCGTCAGACTTGTCCCAAAAGCGTCAGTGAACAATGGACACCTCTCTGGTCATCGATCAAGGACCAGAACACCAAAGGTTTATTTCTCGTTTGGAATTTTATTAAATTATTTCTAATCTGAAAGAGCAACAAGTTGCTGGCCTTCTAAAACCTCAGCAGCAGTTCTGACCCCAAAGGATTTTCACTTCATTAACAACACTCATTTTACAATGAAACTATATCCCTGGGATAACCAGTTATAAAATTATGTATTCTCACTTCTTTCCTACTCTCTTCTCATTAAAAACAACCTCAAACTTTTGGGCAGGAGAAAATGAGAACTTCGCTGAAATTAACGCAGAAACAAGCAAGGCAAATAATAAAAACATCATTATTACAAGGTATAATATTTCCAAACTAATACTAGATAGAGGAGATCATTAGTGGACAGGTATGTGAAGAATTTTTTGACAGAAATTTCACAGAATATTCTAAAGTGGAAGGGACCCAAAAGGAGCATTGAGATATTTCACACCCAGTTAAAAAAAAAAAAAAAAAAGTTAATCCTACTACTTTCTAATTATCTAAGACTTTTGTTTCCAGCTTTGACATCTGAAAAGCAGTCACTGGTCCTGCACTAAACACTGCAACTCATGGACCTGACATCCTTTCTGGACTTTCTAGAAAATAAACAGCACTGAATAAAGTCCTAAGGATTTTAGGTGCTGGTTTTAGCTGGCAATTTCTTCACAGTAGCCCCAGAATATTCATTCCTACACCCTGAAAACAGATTTTCAAACAACAACCTTTGTGTGACTTTCCTAATACAGGATTTTTACTGAACACATGGGGAACATCTGGAAGAACTTTGGTCTAAAAAAACCCAGAAATTCCCCACAAGATCAAAACAAGCCCCCAAAACAGGAATGGAAATAGTTTTAAGGAACTGCAATAGCATTTCCACAGAATGTCAGCAGCACAGCACTGCTGTGATACCTGATCTTCTTGTCAGCAGGTCTCTGGTTGGAATCGTGACTGTCCCAAGAAGATAATCTCTGGATGTCCTGTCAGCCAATTTGTCAGTGGCTGGAAAAGAAATAATTTTGTAAATATATCCAACTGGTACGTAAGTGACTGACTGGAGGACAGCTGGTAAGAGGTGCTCATCATCACTGGGAGCCTCAAAAACTCTTTGCAAGGGGGAACAGTCTCTCCCAAAGACAATTTAGAGAATTACATCTCTCAGCAACTACAGAGTTCCCTGCACAGGGCTCTGAGCAACCTGACCTGCTGGAAGATGGCCTTGCTCATTGCAGGGGGGTTTTTCAAGTCCCAACCCAAACTATTCCATAATTCTACGAGTATTTTTTTTTCTACACTAAAATTAAGGGGACTGCTGCACCAGTATTCAATCCTTGCAACCGCCCCTGCTGTCCTTACCTGACTTGGTGCTCTGATGGTAGATGGAGAAAAAAATACTGCCAGACTGCAAGAGCTCCCCCAGAGAAGAGGCTTCTCCCGTGCTCTTCTGGGTGATGAGATGACAAAGGAACTGCATGCGATGCCCAAACTCTGGGCAGAAGGAGCCGGGCACAGCCCGCGTGCTGCGCGCCTGCGCCGGGGGCAGGAAGGACGGGAGCGCGCACACGTAGGCGTTCACCCCCACCCCTGCACAGTGCTGCACAGAGGGGTTCTTCTGTGCCACAGCTCTGCACTCCACGTGGGGAAAAAATGAAGGAAGAGAATGCAGGTAATGCATCAGGAATCTGGGAAGCAACATGCTTAAAACACAGGTGAAAAGATGGGACCAACAGCGAGCGTTCTAAGTCAAAATGCACGTGGGCTCTGGCTGCACAGCATTTTCATCTTTTCTTTCCATCTGAACATACTAGGGACCCATTTGAAAGGGTGAGAGGAACTCACGAGGTCCATCACTGGTGGCTGTGCTCTTATCTGTGCTTGAGAAAGTACTCAGCACCTTTAAGGGTACACTGTACTGTACAACAACTTCCCTGAGAACCTGCTCCACAAAGAAGCCAAGGCCAAGCTAAATTATTTTTACAGACCAGAACTGAGCAGCAAAAGGAGTTGAAATTAGTAAATGGAGTAATGTACAAGTAAACCACATCCTGGTATTACTCAGGTCGTACATCTGAAGGATGAGGGGTCTGAGGTCTGACTTCTCCAAGCACCAATCCAAGCACCATACAACAGTGATCCTCACCTTTCAGGGTCTGCTTGAATTAGGATGGACCAGAGTCTCACAGCAACACTGAGAAAGGGTCAGACCATGGCTCTGGAATGACAGGAGCCATCCTGCTCTTGTGGAACTGACTCCCTCTATTCTAGCCCTTTCCTGATTCTTGGAAACCACACAGTCTGGAACAATATCTACCTGATACCACACACTGGCAGCAGAAGCCTTAAGGTGGAAAGGAACACGTTTATTTCCTAGTCAGTTTATTGAGGTTTTCACAGTGAAATGCAAGAAAACAGCATTGGTTAGCTTTTAAATAGCATCAGCGACACCAGGATCCACTGCCCAAATAGGTTCCATCTCATATCAGCCAATTTTTATATCAGTCTTTGGCATAAAAAATAAGTGGAAATGTAGGAAAACATGCCCTTCCAACCTGCATCTTTCTGCAGAACAAATGTTACCACTCTGTACTGCAGCTTCAGGGACCAGAAGGTCCCTGATGGTTTTTATAAAGTTATTTTCTCTTTGGAGCAGGACTCACTTTGAATCTTGGTCTCTGCACTTGGAAAATTGGCCAGTAAGAATGTGATCTAATCTCATGCCTCAGTCTGCTGCCTCCAGATAAGGCTGTTTTAAGTGAAAAGTGGTCCTTTTTGAATTAGGCCTTACCTGGCTGCTGCCTGCAAACCAGCTGCCCTGTGTATTTGTACAGAAAGTGAAACAGCTTGAGCAGTTATTCCAGCTGCTGTTCTCATGGATTGTTGGTACCTCACACTCACATCGAGCAAACCTGGATTAAATGAAAGAAAGGAACAAAAGAAACGGTCAGCTCTTAATGCACCTACATCCAACATAATCAATATTCAGCTACACTTATTAATACAAAACTTACTCTATCAATGAGTATCTTTCCCTTTGTTCCCCCCGGATCCAGCTGTTCCTCCTGAATCCAGCTGTTCCCCCCGATCCATCTGTACCTCCTGGGTTTGGCTGTTCCCCCTGGGTCTGGCTGTACCCCCGGCTGTGGCACAGCCTCTTGCACTGCCGGTCTCAGTAGATCGGTGCCGTTATTTTTTCAGAAACTCCGGCACCGCATCCCGCCAGGGCCACTGCTAGCCGCAGTGTCGCCCTCCTGTGGCCAAACGCCAGTATTGCAAGCTGGCGGTCTCAGTGTCGCCCTCCTGTGGCCAAACACCAGTATTGCAAGCTGGCGGTCTCAGTGTCGCCCTCCTGTGGCCAAACGCCAGCATTGCAGGCTGGGGTCCTCAGTGTTGCCCTCCTGTGGCCAAACGCCAGTATTGCAGGCCAGGGTTCTCAGTGTCACCCTCCTGTGGCCAAAGACCAGTATTGCAATCCGGGGCTCTCAGTGTCGCCCTCCTGTGGCCAACCCACAGCACTGCAAGTCCAAGGGCTAACACTCAACTTTTTGACAGTTTGAGGATTTAATCACAGATTTTTTACTCTTTACGGTGTTAGTGAAAGCTGGGAGGAAAACCACTCCTGGCTGGTTTCAATTGCCAACATAAATCCATATTTTTATTTGCCCTGGAGGCAAACAGACTTTTACAGAATTTGATAGAATTTTACACAGAATCAAAACTGGTTTGGCTGGGAAAGACCCATAAAATCATGGAGCCCAAGCATTCCTCCAGCACTGCCAAGGCCACCACTCTCCCCCATCCCTAAGTGCCACATACACAGAGCTGTTAAATCCTGCCAGGGATGGGGATTCCACCATGGCCTGGGGCAGCCTGTGCCAGGACTGAACAGCCCTTTGGGGGAAGAAATTTTCCTTAATATCAAACCTGAACCTCCCTGGCACAACTTGAGGGATTTTGTTTGTCCTTTGCTAACACACCATCAAACACTGTTGTGCTGCTCAGAGGTTTCCTCAACTGAGCCTGCTTTTACCAGGGAAAGCCCACAAGCCTTGCTCACCTGAAGACTGCAGATGAAATTCCTCAGAGGAATCACTCCGGGGGACCAAGGGAAGATTAAAAGTTTGAATGCCTATTTCTTCACGGTGCTGCAGAGTCACCATGGCACAGAGCCGTGACAAAGGCAAGGCCCCTTTGGCAACCAGCTGGTCTCTGACATTTGGGTAATAATACCTGGTGGGACACAAAAAACCAGGATCAACGTTTCTCTCAAACTGCACAGAAGTCAACTTTGAGTGTCTTCAAAGCCTAATTAGCCTCCCCAGCTAAGGGAGAAAAAATAAATGTACTTCCACTGAAGAAAAGAATCATTAAGTGCTTAAGCAGATAATCCTACAAATACATACTTGCACTAGTCCTAGCAAGTCAACAAGCAGGACCTCCACTAAAAATTGGCATCCTAAAGAAAAACAAGAGAAGGATCTGGCACCAAATATTTTCTGCTATCATTTCTCATTAATAAATGAAAACACCTCTCTTGCAGAACAGATTTGTGGTACCAGAATGTAAGTGTAAAAAATTATTCCAAACCTTTTCTTAGTGCATTACATGGCTTCAGCTTCATCCTAAAACAAATTCTGGCACTGTATCTTACAAACAGCCCATAGTAATTCTTATGTGACTTAGGAAATTTAAAAAAGCCTGACTTGTTTACTGCAGAATGAACAGATTATTATCTTTTTCTAAAGCTATTTGTCTTCATGGCTTCTGCTCTTCATTACTAATAATTAGCTTCAGTAGCCAAAGAAACATTTTGAATGTACAAAACACTTTTTATTATTTGTGTTGTACTCAGTGATTTGTATGAAGGAAAAGAGGAAATCCAACACAATGAAATTATACTTTCAGGGTGCTATTAAGTAAAATTTAGATGTTGCAAACATTTAAACTACTTTTAGATTGTTATGCTGATTAAAAGATGGAAGAAAGCAAACTAATAACACACACTTTTTAAGTTATACAAAGGAGTAATAAGGACTCTTGGTGGGGAAAAAGGTGTACAGGTTTTAAGTGCAGATACTTATCACCAAATGTTGATGAGCTTACCATTTTTTTTAGCTACTATTAAATAATATTATGAAATATCCATTCCAGAGCTGCAGGTTTTTCAAGATCAGATGTACCTCTACCAGTACTGCTGTGCTATCTACAAAGAACAGGACGTTGTTCTGTACCTGCACCAGACTTCAAACTGCATTCCTCCTCCTGCTGCTCCTGGTGCCATAAATGCACTGACCAGGAGCCTCTGGACTGGGACATCAGCAGGAACCAACAGGGAATGATGATGTTCGTCATTGAAGATGGGATCAGGGACACACAAAGTGGTAGCTGTTCTAAATGGCTTTAATGTGATGCCTAGAAGTCAAGCAGAACTAGTTAAAAATGGTTGGAATTGCAGCTTTCAACCTTTTTCTGCTTGCAATCCTACAGGAGGTAGGACCCATGGACAGGGATTGAAATCCTCTTGGGACAAGGCTTGCTCTTCTGAGCTTCACTTCACAAAGCTTTTACAAGCAATGCATGCAGCCCCATGACCCTGTGAGCCACAGGCTGGGAACTACAGCTAAAGAGGCAGTATAGAAATCCCACAGGACTTACTATGGAACCATTTCACTGGCTGTTATTTTTCAGTGGGAATACACATTGGTGATGCAAAGCACTCGACACTGTGCTCTTTCCTACAGCTACCATTATTTACATATTATTTTATAATCTGAAAAATGATGGGTTTAGATTGGATATTGGGAAGAAATTCTTCCCCCTGAGGGTGGTGAGCCCTGGCACAGCGTGCTCAGAGAAGCTGTGGCTGCCTCTGGATCCCTGGAAGTGTCCAAGGCCAGGCTGGACAGAGCTTGGAGCACCCTGGGACAGTGGGAGGTGTTCCTGCCCATTCTATGTTAACCCTAGTGATTTAAATCAAGCAACTCTTCTGTTGGTGTATCCATGAAAATCACAGAATTGTCACGGTTGGAAAAGGCCTCTAAGATCATCAAATCCAGCTGTTAACCCAGCCCTGCCAAGGCCACCCAGTAAATCATGTACCCAAGTGCCATATCCAAACACTTTCTGAACATTTCCAGAGATGGTGCCCACCATTGCCCTGGGCAGCTGTGCCAGGGGTTGATAACCCTGTTGATGAAAACTTTTCCCTAATATTCAACTTAAACCTCCTCTAGCATGACTTGGGGCCATTTCCTCTTGTCCTGCCTCTTGTTGCCTTGGAGCAGAGCCTGATCCCCACCTGGCTGCACTCTCCTGTCAGGGAGTTGTGGAGATCAAAATGAGCACCCTGAAAAGCTTGTGCATGTAAAGCCCTTGCTGAATTTCACTGTGTACAATCTCTCTATTCCCTGCAGACCCATTCCTGCATCTTTGTCAGACCAGCTGGCACAGCCCTCTAGCACCTTTAACAGGAGGTACCATGTGAAGAGATGTGGAATTAGGTCTCTTTTTTCCACTGGGAACTTGCCACCAGCCTCAGACAAACAAGGCTTTGAATCCAGTGACACAGCCCAAGCCCAGTTTTTCCAATAAAACAAGCATTGGCTGGTTGAAAGTTCATAAAAACATGCCCCGTCTTAGGCAGAGAGAACATGACTAAATAGTGTTTAATTATAGCGATGATCTAAATAAGACAAACTTACCATCCTCATGCAGTCCAGGTCCCTGCAGTGCACCACAGCCAGCCTCCTGAACTGGGAAATAGTACTGGATGTAGCAGTCAGCCTCTCCCCAGACCGTGGACTGGAGGGGAGTGAGTCCCTTCACACCCTCCACGTGGATCTCAAACACATGCTCCATCAGGTCCTCCCCTTTTGGGTACAACTGTTAACAAAAAAAGGGAAAGCCAAGTGGAAAGGATGACTTTAGGAAACTGAGAACATTTCAACCCAGGGAAGTGGTTGAGTCATCCCTGGAGGTACTCAAAAGCCATGTGAATGTAACATTTGGGGACATGGTTTAATGGTGGCCTTGGCAGGGCTGGGTTAGTGGTTGGATTCAATGAGCACAGAGACCTTTCACAATCTAAACAATTACATGTGATAAAGATCTAAGAAGCCTGAGATGGGGGACAGAGAAATTATCTACCATTTTCCTCCTAAAGTTTACAGAAACATTGAAAGTCTGAAAGAAAATTATTTTTTTCCTGCAAAGCACATAGATAAAAGTTCCTACCTACCCTACTCCATGGTAGTGGCAAAACCTCCACAATAAGACTGTGAGAATTAAGATTTTCTGTAATTTTGCTGGTTTTTTGTTTTTACTGGACTTGTGAAGATAGAAACAGTGGATATGCAAGGCAATAAAAAGAGCAATAATGTCAAGACTAGTGAGAGCAAGCTGGTAAAAAAAAAAAAGAGTATAAACAATATAATTCTGTGTACAATTTGCAGCATATAACAAAATTGGCTACAGCTTCAAGAAGAGATTTGGGATCATTCATCTGTTAATGAACTCACTGGTAAAACCCTTTTGACATGTCCTTAACAGCGAGAATGGGGTGTACTGAAGAGTAAATACCAGTGTGGGTTTTGCAGCTGGATGGTCCAGAGAGTGGGGAGGACGCTGTGTGACTGGAGGCACCATTCCTTCCTCAGTTTTGAGCCTCTGCAGTGTCACGATTTGGACGGCTGATCCCATGGCCAGGGTGACCCGCAGGCTGCCACGGGTGCGGCCCGTGAAGACGTCGACCACCGGCACGTGGCCATCCACAGCCACCACTGGGTACTGAGCCTGCAGGAGCAGGTGGGAAACCCTGGCATCCCTGCAGAACAATCCCAAAACAAACAAAAAAGCCCCAGCATGAGCATGAGCCATCTGAGTAGAACTGCACCACACAGAACTCGTTCTAGATGGGATTTTCAAAGCTGATAAAAACCAGTCTATCTCCGTTCCTCTGAAATTTGTCTCACATCCCATCTCCACTCAGCAGAGATCCAGGAGCTGCTGGCTGCAAGAAGTTATTTCCAGCAATGACAAAGGACAATTTCCCAAAACCTGACAGCACATTAGCTATCAGCCAGCCTAGAGATCTGTGAAGGAAGGGATGAGTGGGAACAAGACTCCCATTAACACCCTGTAGCCGTATGATACTTTTATGAGGTAGTTATGTGCCTTTGTGCAGAAAAGAAGGAACAGTGACAGCCCCCCAGAAAGATGTAAAAATCATACACTGAAGTTATTCAAGGCCAGGTTGAATGGGGCTTGGAGCAACTTGGTTGAGTGGAAGGTGCCAGAGGCACTGGATGGATTTTAAGGTCCCTCCCAAGCCAAACCATTCTGGGATTCTAAGATACACACAAATAAACTACAGTGGCTTACTGAAAAAACGATACAAATGACACAATAATAACTAACAAAGTAGTGACCAGTCAGCTCCAGCACCACCTGGTTTTCACATGCCACTAGGTCTGACCAAAATAAAAGGAATAAATCCTTTGCATTATGAAGAATTTCTTCTGTCCAGTATTTCCAGCAATTTAAACTGTTTTAAGCAGGTATATTACTTAACTGAACAAGAAGCCAATAGATTAAACCTAAAAAGAACTCTGGAGAATCCCACTGGATAAGAACACAATTAAAAAATGAAGGTTTTGGAGACTTTTTGACACCCAGCATCCTTATGAGATCCCTGCAGAGCATGATTAGGGGCAAACCCAACCAGTCAGATTTTGTAAAATCACTGATGGAAAGCCACACCTCATTCTCCTGTGTAGTCACTTTGACTTCTTCTGGTTTTATTCCATCATAGGACAACAAGCTAAGCAGGCACCAACCCTGATGCACCATAGTGACTTTATTTGTCACACTCTATCTGTGGACAAGGACAGTGTAACTCACACCCTGCTCACTGTAGGAAAGGGTTATAGGAAGCTTGGCAGGGCAAAAATGCCTTTTGCTATGAAGTGTAACTAAGAACCTCCCCACACAACCCCCACACACCATCACCAACTTCTTTCTCTAAGCTTCAGCTAGGATATTTCCCAAACCAATAAAAAATGGGGAACTAAAAACTAAGGTTACTTGAACGAGATGTAAAACTGATGCAGAGGGAGTTTCACTAATCCCAGCAATTTGTCAGAGCCAGGGCTTCCCAGCTTGTTCCATGCTTCAATAATCACGACATTGTTCTTCAGCCGCTCCAAGCGTTTGGAAGTCAATGAAAAGGGCATCACCTGAAAGGTTTAAAGCAGAATTAGTACACAAAATACACTGTAAAATATTAGCTAAGTGCAGAGCGTTCTGTTAAGTCTACTTTATTCCAGTCTACAGAATTGTGCCTTTTAGAGATAGAAGTTAAAAATTGAATGTGCATTCAACAGAGCCAAGCAGGGACATTTCTACGTATATCAAAGTAACTTAAGTACAAAATGTGTTTGTCAGTGGGGAGCACCACACTTCCATCAGTGGGAAATGGAGAACATGTCACTTGCCTGACAAAAATTGAAGGCAGGCTGTCTTGTGCCCCAGACGACAGCGGATCTCGTCGCCTCCTCAGTGCTGAGCAGTTTGCAGTTTAAATACACATTGCAGGAACCGGGGAGCCCAGAGCCTTCAGCAACGAAGTCCCTTCCATCGGGCACCATCAGGAGCACGTGCAGCAGTAACCCCTCCTGCTCCGCTGGGGTGACGTGCGTCACCTCGTCCCGGGCTGGCTCCGGGCGCGGCGGCTGCGCGACGTCCCTGCCGCCCGCTGCCGGGCCCCGCGAGGCCTCGGGGCTCCTGGCGGAGCCCAGGGGGCTTTCTGCACTTACACTCGTCCTGCTGGGCTCCCGCAGTCCCAGCCGGGCCCCCGTCACGGCGCGAGCTGGGGCTGGGTGCCCGGCCGTAGCCGACCTGGCAGCGGCGCTGGCCACGAGCTGCAGGGACACCTGCAAGGAAGGCAGAGCTGGCCAGAGTGCCCCATCCACAAACAAGGCATGCAACAGGAACTCAGGAAAACACAGCACACCTCTGGCTCCAGAACTCGCCCTAAGGCATTATGCTGGTTGCAAGCTACAGCTTTTGATAAAAGACACGTGGCTTTAAGAAATAAAGTCCAGGCTGGAGTTTGGCAAAACCACACAATTACAGATGAATTATTGAATGGTCTGGGTCGGAAGGGACCTTAAAGCTCACCCCATTCTTAACCCTTCACCTGCTAATACAGAGAGCTGTTTATCCTCAGAACTGTCAAATCCTTCAAACTGTTAGTGCTTCTCATTCAGAAGCTGAGCAAACTGATAAAACTTTGGCTGGAGAAGATAATTCCTAAAGTGACAAGGACAAGGAAGACCAGGCCTCCATGGCAGGAGAGACCTCAGCTCATGCCACGCGTGAAGGAGCCAAAGCTCCAAGCCCTGAGAATGTGCCACTCAAAATGTGCCTGTAGAGTGGTTTCTGTATTCGAGTCCCAGCTTACTGACAACATTCCTCGACATGCAGGAGCTTCAAAATATCTCCCCAAACCCCTAAGGAATAAAAAATGGTTCATGTTATTTTATGCTGGTCTTGCAAACCTTTGTAGCTGAGACCTGGTAAATTGAAACAAAGACAGAAAAGAGGAGTTAAAAATAAGAGTGTGGAGCCAAAATTAGTAACAATCCAAGCTAGAGGTGGTAAAACACATACCTTTAGTGGCCCAACTTGTGTGTGATCTCCCTCTTTTTCCACAGGTATATCCCAGCTGACACTGAGCAGCTCAGCCTCAATCACTCTGTGGAGCTGAAGTGCTGCTGAGCCAATGGCCACAGGCTGAGGGTAGGCAAAGAGGTAATTTTGCAAGATTTCTATCAGATTTAAAGAATTTTTGTGAGAAAAAGAAAAAAAAAGCTTTCTGGCTCCACTCCCACTCACAAGGTCAGTTGTACCAACAGGGATTTGGGAAATCTCTTTTACTTCCAATTTCAAGTCTCACTAGAACAGTAAGACAGGTTTTCCTGGAATCTACTGTAAAAAATTCCAGATTAATGCAAAAATTGAATAACCTAAATCCTGGTAAATGAGCACAATTTCCATACTGAAAGATGCAATTTACTCCCTCATTAAAAGAAAAGCAGATATCCTTGGTGTCGATTAAAATAATACAAGCTGAGTTAACCCCTCTCACCCTCTTCATCACGGGCAGATGGTTATGCAAATAATCTTATCAGATAGAAATATAGCTTTTCCCGCCCAAAAAGCACAAGTTACAGGTGTTCTTCACAGCTCACATTATGTCCCTTACACTGGGCAGGGTGCAGATATAAACTGATTCCACGTGGACTCATTCTACACTGCTAAAGGAGCTGTGTTCTCATTGAAGGATAACGTTTATAACTGATCCAATGTGCTTAAGCAACAAGAGATCAGTTTAAAGAAGAGGGAAGTACAATTATTTTTGCTTGCCAGTCTCAACCTCAGAAAAGCCTTTACTGAAGGGACAGGAGGGACGAGCCTGGAAGAGCCAGTGGCCGTGGTCCCGAGGCTGCCAGAGCTCCAGAAGTGTTTGGGCAGCGCTGCCAGGGATGCACAGCTGGGATTGCTGGGGTGTCTGTGCAGGGCCAGGGCTGGGCTGGGTGAGGCTGTGGGGCCCTCAGAATACTCTGTGGTTCTGTGCAGACTGAACAGCAAGCAGTGTAATGTCATTTCCCCTCCTAATACCTGACTGTCTGCACTGAGTGTCTGGGGGAGGTGGAAATGCAAAGAATTCCTTTGCTTTTCAACACACAAAGAAGGAACAACTAGTAGTAAATACCTTTTTCTGTGTGCTTTTTCTCATGTAGATTTTAAAAGCCAGGTCAGAGCCCCACCAGTGCTCCATCATCCTTCCCCCAAACCACACAGGGAACACAGACTGCTGCTGGAATTTCACCACTGGAAGGAAGAGAGGAGCAACAAATATCCAAAATTACTTGACATAAATAAACTTTCCCCTGTAGAGTGCTCTGTTACAAACACAATCATTTCATTCTGCATTGTTTATTAACACAAAGGCCAAAGTAAACTGGTTTTCATTTTTGAAGGCCAGCAAACAGCAGGAGACCAGCAGGACAAAATTAAGATTATGAATTCATAAATAATAAATTATTAAATACACTAATATAAGCCAACATTATAACAGTATTTAAAGACTTCAGGTGACACCAAGTCTCTGCCATTCTAGCATGCAGTAAGAGCTGCCCTTCCTCAGTGGGAGAACCCTGCCTCATTTCAGTTAACAGAGTTCAAGATGGTTCTGGAGGGAGGCAAAGCTGAGCTGCAAGAAAAATCACAGCTCCAGGAGAACAGGAGTATCTGCAAGCAGAGACAGAACCAATTTGTGATTTGCATTCAGTCTGGAAAGGAGTACAAGAAGTACAATAACAGTGTTCACCAAGGATAAGGAAATATTCCTGTGATGACAAAAATGCAGGTTACACATAAGTTAATTTCCAGCCGGATGCCCTGCTCTTGCCCACCTTGTCTGGGATCGCTATGGAATCGTCCCCATTAGGCATATTTAATAAATGACATAACTCTCAGGAAGGAAAATGCTACAGGATAATGGATTGAAGACTTCTTCGCATTATTTTCTATTTTATAATCTATTTTTCTAGGTCCCAAAGAGCTGGACTCCACACAAGGCAAACTGCAGGAGGATGGATGAGTTTTGGATTCCAAAGGTTGTATTACAAAAGCTCAGAAAAAACAGATGTTTTCTCTGGCCACAAATGCAAAATATCCAAGAGAACTCAAAATCTCTCAAGTGCCACTCAGCAAGATGCAAAGCCAATGAATGATCACATGGGAGAGGACTTTGAAAGTCACCCTGGCATTCCAGTTTCTGGGAAGACTGGGCAGAGAGCATCCAGCATTCTCTGCTGAGTGGGAATAGAAACAGAAATTGTTCTCAGGGATACAAACACTGGTGAGTCTCAGTACAAAGATTAGTGTCTCCTGATTTGAGCATAGGACTGGAGATTCCCTGGATCCAGCAGATTATGTGAGCTACTGGGGATACTACATGACATACTTCCACATCTGAGGAATTATTTATTTGGACTATAAGTATCTCTGGTATTTCTAAAAGTCCTTGATCATCTTCCCACTATTGCAGAAAAAATACTGGCATTATGTTCAAAAGAAGGAATGGGCTTACTAACTTCTTCTTTCTTTAGGAAAAGAAATTTGAAAATCCCAGTATGAATTCTTCCGGGAAGAAAAAAAAAAATTAAAAAATCACTTCCTTCTTCCTGAGAGGATCATTCCCCCACCTGCAGCATGGCAACTAATCACACTGTGGTTTTCAGGCACCAAAGGAAATATGTGGAACACACTACTAAATAATTTCTAAGAGATGGAGTCAAGAAAACTAAATCTGAGGGGTAAAACGATGCTCTTACCACCATCTGTGATTTTACTTGAGGCTACTCGAATTGCTTCTGTTGCTATGGAGACCTGTCCTTTTTCATCCTTGGAGACTCTCACAGGAAAGTGGTACTCCACAAAGAAGGTGCTGCAATAAAATAGTGAAAGGGTGACCACAGTCCATCAAGAATCTGATGTGAGTCGTGAAACTGAGCACAGCAGGCAAGTTCCAGATTCACAGCTGACTGTAACCCTTTTTTTTAGGATAATTGAAACACCTATTCTATTAATTCCTTCCACAGGTTATCTATGTGCCAGATTCTCCTCCAATAAATCCCCTTTTGTTTTCAAAGTACATTCTGCACCTCCCCAAAACCCTGGGAAAGGCACAGCCTCAAGTGAGCCCACACCAGGATAAATCAGTCACATCTCTAACTTCCCCAAGTCCGTGGGATACAATTCCCTCCGAGGAACAGAAGCCTCAGAAGCCTGGAGAGCCTGGGGAAGCTGCCCTACACAGGAGAGCCCAGGGAAATCTCCCCTGAAGGCACAGCACACAAACCAGGAAGAAACAATCCCCCTTACCACTTATGAACAGACATGGGCCGTGGAGGCTTCCCCAGCAAACCTTTCCTCCTGGGGGAGATCTGGATGCTCTCAGGAGGGATTTTCAGGCTTTCTATGGTGACTCTGGCCAGGTGTACTCGCTGCAGCAATGCCAACCTGTCTGCACCCAAGGATGTGAGAAGAGACATTTCTCTGTGGTCTTCTGGAGGAGCAGTGGGAGAGCAGCTGGAGACACAGAACTGAGGATCAGGACTGCAGAAACATTCTTGACATGACCATGAAGGGGGAATTGTAGCTAGGCGGGATGCTACTTAAAAACTGCACAAGGTTCACTAAAATATACATTTAAAACATATTTTTACAACAAATTTGGTGGTCTCTATAATTCTCTGTAACAAATATCTTATAATATCTGGGGTCCATAACTAAAAAAAAGACAAGTTAAAGTGCATGTTCCACACATTGTTGATCTGAAAAAATCTTCAAAAAGAAAAACTTCCTTTAATGCCATGTACAAAAGCAGGGAGATGATACAGTTATACACAAGACAAATCTCTGCTGCACAGGAACAGGAGCAGGATTTTTGCCATAGTTTTAAATCTCATTTGTGTAATTTGCAAGACTTGAATTGCAAATGCTTTTGTGCTGGTTTCTTTGGGGATATGAATTTTACCTGATGTAAGAACAGCAGTGTTAGTCAGAAAAAGAATCAGAAATAATTGTTTGGAGCTAAAATGCAAAAAAAAAAAAACAGTCACAAAACCTTTACATTAACTGTATTGTGTAAGATAGGCTTGATAATTGGATCTTCAGGGACACTTTTATTGGTTCCATACAAAAAAAGGGAATGCAGTTTAGATGAGGTCAGAACAAAAGTCACTGATGCAACTACCTGGGTTTAGCTCCTGTCACATTCTGATCAAAGGCATGAAAATCCTTCTGTGGATTCACTGGACCCCCTTTTTTGAGAGTTTCTGTCTTGGATGCTTTTTTTGAGGATTTAATATCATCATCGCTGAGGAAATCGCTCAAACTGGAATCAGATTTCTAAAGCAGAAAGAATGGACATAAATAAGAAGTTAATTGTCATTGTACAGAGAGTTCCATAATGGTCACAATACATAAATGGAAAAAAACTCGTGCATTGTATCAACTGAAACAATTAAAATGGTATCAAAATTTCAGGGATTTGAAAAACAAAAAGTCTCCCTGGACAGCCTCAATCGCAGCAATTTCCAAACTCGATGCTTGACTTTGTAGTCTTAACAACATTCTTTTAATGATTTTATTCTTTTAATCATATTAATTTTAAGCAATGTGCACATGTACTCACAAACACTTGTATGACACCTAATGCCCATTCAGCTCTAAATTAGTGCAATCTGTCGTTTTCCTGATCGTGCAAACCTCGGTTGCTCTGCACATTCGGGAACGCACGTTTCCCTTTGGATCTCCACTTACAGGAGCTGTGTAAAAAAGCTTCTCCAGCAGACTCTGGTCGTAGTGGGGATCACCGAGTTCGCTGTCATACACCTCGCTGCCAAGGGAGAGAGAATCCCACAGGGAGCCCGTCCGATCCCAGAAGTGCCCCGGGGAGAAATCGGCACTGTGGATACAGGAGAGAGAAGCACACCTCAGGGTCTCCAAGGCACGTGGACAATGCTGCCTGTTTCCCCCTGGATCGGGGCCGTGCTGGCTCCAGCAGGGGCAAGCTGTGCCCAGGGAGCAGGGCTGTGAGCCAGCCTGGAGGGTGACCTGGGGACAACACCTCTGCCCCCGCAGGAACGTGGTGAGCGCGGAGCGAGGGACAGCCGGGGTCACAAAGGATCTCTGGAGGTCACCCAGTCCAGCCCCTGCTCAAAGGGAAGGCATGCAAAAAAAGCTGTACAGCTGGATTTTGGGTGTCTTGGAAGCTGCAGATTCCACAAACTCTTTGGGCAACCAATTCCAGGCTTTGATGATTTTCATTGTAAAATATACCAATGAATGTCAACCTCCAATTCTTACCCTTCACTACTTTATAACTTCTGGAATGCTTTAGGAGTAATACTTAAGGACAGTTTATTTTGATTTAAAAAAACTTCCAAGCTATACCTGAGTAGGTGCAAACACAAGAATCTTCAGATACAAGCTGAGGTTAGTTTGGTTTAAGGTTTTCCTCTGTGCTGTGAGTTTAAAATAATTTTATGACCTGCAACACTACAGTGCAGATAATCACTTGTGATAAACCACAGTGAAAAAATGAGTGCAGGGCACAAGAAACATGAACCATAAATTCTGAACCATATCTGACCCAGAAGCTGTGTGTTCAGGGTGCAGATGTGGACGCAATGGAAGCATCATCTATGCTCCTGCTACGCAAAATAAGAGGAAAAGGCCCATTTAATATCTGGAGAAAGATTAAAAATAGCTATAGTTTCTCATTAGTTGTAATTTACAGAGTGTTTCTTCTCCCAAGAAACAAGGTATTTGTTTTACATGCTTAGTTTATGCAGTATTTTAGGCCAGGACACTTAGGACTATTCAGTAACTTTGTTTCATGAAAGATTGTGGTTAATCTTTCTGACATCACTTTCACACCAAGTGACTTGCAGCTATCCAGGTCATCATGCATTAAAGCTGAGCTACAAAACACCTCCATCACTTGCACACTGTCAAGTTACACTCCCAAAAATGTCACTGGTTACATTCCCAAAAATCTGGACAACCTGAAGGGTCAAGAGACACTTTTCAAAATGGTCAGACAAGGACAATTTTGCAGAAGCCTCCAGTGCATCACACTCACCTGCCCAACAGTAACTGGACTGCTCTTTCTTCAGAGTTTAGGTCAAACTGCTGACCTGAAACTTCAGATCCAAAGAGATGGGGATCTTCAGAAGTGGGCACAAAACTGGACTTCAAGCCTTTTGGGCTCCTGGGTAACAGCAATGGAAGCATAGACAGCAGAAAAAGGAAAAATAAAGACATTAAGGCATGCTCAAGATGAATCCAATAATCAGTCTATCAGTTTTTTTTCTGTGAAGTCCAAAATAATCTACTTTAACACAAATACAAATAGTTTGTGCAGAAAGAATTTGCAATAGCATCATTGATATTGAATTTGCAATAGCATCATTGACTGTCAAAGACAATGACATTGCTTTCTGGTTTTCACAGAACAACAGGCAATATTCACATTTTTCCAGAGGAAAACCAAGAAATCTAAATTTCTTTTCTCCTAAGAAAACATCATGCATTTAGGTCATCAATTACTTACACTTCTCTGAAAAACTGTTCCTTGTGATGCAGTGCCATTTCACTTGCACTGTCTTGCATTACGCTTATTCCCTACCAAAATGTAATATTTCCCTGAGAAATAACTTTTAACTAAATACAAATATACTATGAAATTAAATTAAAATCAAATACTTATATCAAGGCTTACTACATGAAGATTAAAATGAATTTACAAAATTTAGGCATTTATTCACAGGTAGAAATTAACTTCCCATTTGAATGATGTGCTACTTTGACCCAAAAACACGTCCTATGAATCTCAGTATCTACAGTTTTCTGGATAAAGCCTCAAAATCTATGGTCTGGAGCTTGAATCTCACTTCCCCCAGTCCAAACTTACTTTGTTGGTGCTATGAAATTGTCTGTCTCTATAAAATGAGACATTTTCTTCAGTTCAATCTCCATGTCTGGGCTGGACTTCATTGCAGAAACGACCATGGCATCACGGAGTTTACTGCCTTGATCCAAGAGAGCTGGGAAACAAGCACAAGGATTACATTTCAGCATTCAAGTGCTTTTTAAAAGCCATGTGTAGACACAATCAATGTGTCAGCTACAGTCAAGAAACTTGTTTTCTGCTGTTAAAAAGAGATCTTGGCGCACTGGGGATCAGATATGTTTTATATACCAGAAAACAGCTGAGCTGGGAGTGAGGGAGGGTGATCCTCCATCAGTCTCCCACTCCACTCTACAGGGAATTTGTGCACACACAGGGTCAGGTATTGAAGGGCATTATTAGGATACAGAAGCAGGACTAATTGAGGGAAGAGCAGTTTGCCACTTCAGGATGTCTAATTTTTGTTCTTTCCTGTAAATATGGAACTCAAAAGATAGCACCTATGGAAACGTGCTCTACTCCAGCGCCGATTCCAATCCAGCCCAGGCAAGAGTGGATCTTAAGGCAAGGCCTTTCTGGAATAATGGAGCAAGAGGGTGTGAAGTCTCTCTTTCCCTTCAGAAACCCAGACAGGCAGACCAAACACCATGGAGAGTTGTTTGCAGTGAAGTCTAAAAGACGGAGGCAGTGGCACACTGACCTGAGAGCAGATCCTTTGCGGCCGGGCTGTGCGCGGAGAGCAGCCGCGCGCTCCCCCCGGGAGCTCTGGGATCGGAGCTGGTGGGCAAGGACACGGGCTGATTCTCTGGGCTCATTTCCACACGCTCATCCGGTGAAACCACACGGAAACGAGGAGCAGGAAAGGTGTCCTTCACGTTCTCAGAGTTCTCTCTGCAGAGCAAATGGTCCTTTCCTCTAGGGAAAAATGAAACTGTATTTCAGGGACAACTCCAGGGCGCGGGTAAAGGGATTCAGAACTCTGCAAATTCTCCAAAAGGAAACATGACGTCATTATTTTAATGATTCCTCACCTGCCACTGAGACCATCAGAGGGACCCACCCAAGGTGCAAGTAAAAGATTTTTCAAAAAAAAGGCTTTTAAAAAGATCTTTTTTACAAGAGCACGTTGTGACAGGACAAGGGGGAACAGCTCCCCACTGCCAGAGGGTAGGTTTACATTAGATACCAGGAGAAAGTTTTTTGCTGGAGCACAGTGAGACTCCGGCACAGGTTACCCAGAGAAGCTGTGGCTGCCTCATCCATGTCCAGGGCCAGGCTGGATGGGGCTGGGAGCAGCCTGGGACAGTGGAAGGTGCTCTGGCAGCAGGGATGAAATGAGATGAGCCTTAAGATCCCTTCCAACCCAAATTATTTGGTGATTTGAGGCACCTCTTGTGTGATCTCGCTTGACGTGAACTAAGTCAACCTAAGGGGAGCAGCCTGGGACAGTGGAAGGTGCTCTGGCAGCAGGGATGAAATGAGATGAGCCTTAAGATCCCCTCCAACCCAAATTATTTGGTGACTCGATGATTTGAGGCACCTCTTGTGTGATCTTGCTTGACTTGAACTAAGTCAACCTAATAAGCAAATTTCTGTCAGACAAGAAATTGTTCCTCTCACCTTGGAAACCCTCAACATCCTGGATTTCCCATAAAATGCATGTTTGAAAAGATGAAACACCCCATAACTCACAGGTGAACTGACAATGCTTAAAAATTCTGTGTGAACTACAAAATAAACCACAGTTTTGTCACGAGGAAAAAAGAAAAAAGGGTACCTAGGAGATGTGGCTTTGCTGTTGTCAACAGAGTCCTGTTCAACAGCCACCTGGGTGTGCCTGGGCTGCTGGGATGGAGCAGGAAGCTGGGACTTGCTGCTTCCCTGGGCAGCAGCAGCATCTGAACCTCCTTGTGTGGCTGGCACACAGCTGCTGGTGCCATACAGTTCTGGCAGAGGCTCTAGAACCAGTGACACCTGGAAGACAAGATGTGGAAATGTTGCTTTGTTCTTTTCTTATCTAAGTGCAATAAACATTGCATCAACTTCACCTGTTGTGCAATGGAAAGCTGCTGCTTTTCTACATAAAGTAATATTTATATCACACAGCTATGTCACGTATTCACAACTACTTGTTCCTCATTTTCAAATCCAGTCAACTGCCTTTCTTAATCAGTTTTACAGAGACAGGGCTGCAAGACAGAACTTTCTTAATTTCAGATGTTTAAATCTTCTATTATTCCAGTGAAGTGTAAGAACCAATACCCATTTTAAATCCACTGTTAATACCCACAGTCAGTGTAGAGACCACATGTTCCTCATTAAGCTCAACCACCCCATATCTCTCTAAACAAAACAAAGCAAAGACTGGCAGTATTTGTTTTTTCTTCATTTGTTACCTTAGCTCAGAAATGCCTTGGACAGAGAGCAGGCCTGCAGTGTGCCACGTACAGCTTGATCCCGCACCTGGCTGTGCCAGTGTCACAGCGCATAATTGATATTAATATCACATCACTATCTAATAATGAGCAAAGACATGAAGGCTACCTGCAGCTCTCCGAGTTTATCCGATGTTGGTGACAGCACGGCAAAAGACCCTTTGATGGGATGGCTGGGAGAGAGCTGGGACAGCTTAGTGATCTGAGCTCTGCCAAGGGGCAGGTGGTCACGTTTGGTTAGAACCTCCAGGACAAGAACGCCCATATCTGCAAAAACCAGGAACACCTTCAGGCCAGTCTCATGGCCACAAGTGACACTTTTTGGCTAAAATGACAGAAATGCCAGAGACTGACGCTGTGCCCTACAAGGGGCAGCAGGTAAAGAAGGGTGAATGCATCCATTACTCCTGGCAGTAAACGATGACGAATAAGTCCAGGATTCCCAGAACAGGAAGGCTTACGGCAGGACCAAGGGGAACGGCTTACACTGCAGCAGGGTAGCCGCAGGGCAGCCCGCTCCCCATCACCGTGCCCGGGAAGGAACTCCTCCTGAGCTGCCCTGGCCCACCTGCAGCCTCTGTCCCCGTCCCACCCGGTCCCACCCGGTGCCGGCCGGTGCCGGCGCTCCCTACCTGCCAGGTAGGCGGCGAGCTGCCGGGGCCCGCAGCGCACGGCGAAGCGGGCGCAGGTCCTGCCCGCGGGCTGTCCGGGCCGCCCGGCGGGCTGCAGCACGGTGCCGCCGGAGCTGTCCCCCCACCAGCGCAGCCGCACCACCGCGG